AAAAATTAGGTATGTGTATGATGTTCAAATCGATTAATTTATTGATTGATTAATATAAGGATATTTCTACGTAGTTTATTTATCATTGGGCTTATTTCCATGTGAGCTTTGTTCTATGTGAGCACATTTCTAAGTGAACATTTTTTCATGTGAGCTTTTTTTTTTTTTTTTTTGTGGGCATTTTTCTATGTGGGCCTTTTTTCCTGTGAGCATTTATACGTGTGAGCATTATTCTGTGAGCACTTTTCCTGTGGGCTTTTTTCCTAGAACCATATATAGATATATATATATATATAGTGTGTGTGTGTGTTTGTGTGTGTGTGTGTGCGTGTGTGTGAGTGTGTGTGTGTAATAAAAGCAAATTTCATAGAAGTATTGACGTAGGAACACTGAGATATAGAAGCCCAGAAATGCTGATGGCGAAGATAAGAATTCGTAAAAACTAAGAGACCGGCAGCCGAGGTGGTTTTAATTCCATTTTTATTTCCAACTGACATTTGTGGCCAGAATCACTTAGCACTCTAATCGTGCCTAATTACAGAGCATTTATATTTTTGATACTTTTGCGATAGGAAAGGAGCACAGCGGAATTACGTCCTAGCGGCGTAGAGAGAGAAGCTAAAGTGCGTAGTTATCCAATATGGAAGCACACGAAGAGACAGATTTTGGTTTGAGTTAGAAAAGTTTCAGTTCTCAGAATTTAGGTTCTCAATTACTACGTCATCAGCGTGGCAAGCTCCGTGGCATAGATTAATCTAGGAGTGGCACACTCCGGAAATGTTATTATTATTTTTTGAAAGAAGACGGAAGTTAAAGGGCTGTTATTAATTTATTATTTCAAAGATAAATATTTTATATTTTACACACACACACATATGCATATATATATATATATATGTGTGTGTGTGTGTGTGTGTGTGTAATAAAGCAAACTTAGATGTCATGATGTAGGACACTGATACGTAGAGGTAGAAATGTTGCATTTTGTGGGCATTGATCCATAATGAACAGAACAGCAATTTGTCAGCCGGGATAGATCAAATATTCATTTTTATTTCGGTTAAAATTTTATGGGCACAAAAAAATTGGCACACTACGCGTGCCTTTTCAAGAACATTTATATTGTGGATAGCTATACGTTAAAAAAAAGAAGCAGCAAGCGGCCGTCTGTCTAAGCCGAAGTTCAGAAAGCAAGTGTGTAGCGTTCAAGATGAAAACTTAATTCGGAATGAATTAGTTTCCGTTTTCAATGCATTTGATTGGATACATAAGAATGCTGTAAAAGTTTAACAGGCGGTTCAGTTTTAGTTCTGCTTACGTCACCAGTGTAATGTAAGAGTCATACGAGATAGATTAGTTTCAAAATGACGCACTGTACACAGAAGAATTAAAAATAAGCATTAAGTGGATACTGCTAAATTAAATTATATTTTATATTCACATATTTTTTATATTTCTTTAAATTGTTATGTGAATAATCATTATATATATATTTAATTACTGTTAAAATGTTTGAATTAACGTTAAGAATTTTATAGTTATTCTGAGAACGAAGTGAATACAAATATAAATAAAATAATTTTCAATTCTAGTGCAGAAAATCAATGAAAAATGGTATTCCTGCGTATAGTATAGAGAATATGTAATATTTTGATAATGAAAATGTTATAGTGAACATAAAATTATCAATAATTTTAGAAGCTGAATTAGTATAAAAAACTGATTATGAGTAATTTTGAAGGCAAGCTCTCACATTTTTATTCCGAATTGCATTTCGACTTTGGCAACAGACGTTTGCTAGAAATACTATAAATAGACCGGTCTTGAAGTTCCCTGCGTTAATGAAGGCTGCAAGCCTTGTCTGGTAACTTTTCGTCCCATACCGATTCGGAGCTACAGTTTTCTTCATTAAATCCGCGTGCTTCTTCATACAATAGCTTATTTTCATACTTGTGAACAAGACTGACCAAGCAGTGAACTTCGTTAAAAAGTAGCTGGATATTTTTCATTCCTACCAAGTTTTATAATATTCTACGAGCATGACGTCAAATAACCGTGAATGAAGAGAATATTAAGATTTGATTTTGGTGTGCCTTAATAATCTAAAATTGGATAAAAAAATATTGACTTACTGAGATATACATCAAAAAGAACTCGTAATATCTTCACCAGTGAAATACGTACTTATTCATAACATTTATGCTGTTGTGTTAATTTAGATTCATAATTGGTCTCAAGAAACCTGGCTAACACCGGTCACTTTAAGACATTCACGAGTTTGTCATAGAAGAACAGGACATAGAAAGAAGTGGAATCTTGAAACACCGCCAAAGTCACCAATTGAATTGGACATCGTGCTTGCAGAATATTATAGGACGTAGTAAGAATAAAAAATGTCTGGCAATTTTTAACAAAATACTCTGCTTGGTTGATCTCGTTCACAGGCATGAAAATAAGTACGATGACTTGCTGAAGAAAACTGTATCGCCGAATCTGCGTGAGACAAAATGATTCTGGACAAATCTTGCAGCCCTCATTCATGTGTGCTATAGGGAGAAGAGAAGAGAGGGTACTTTAAAAGAGGTCTATTTATAGTCTTTTTAAACAACGTTCTTTGCCACAGTCGAAATGGAATTCGGAATAAAATGTGAGGGCTTTCCTTCACATTACCTCAGAGCATTTTGTTGAAAAATAGATGGACATTTTTCATTCTTATCAAGTTCTATATTATTCAGCAAGCATGATGCCGAAATTTAATTAGTGACTTTGGCGATGTTTCAAGATTTCACTTTTTTCAATGTCCTGTTTTTTAACGACGAACTCGCGATTGTCTTTATGTGGAGTTATCTAGTTTTTTTTTTTTTTTTTTTTTTTTGTGCCCAAATATGTATCTAAACTTATACAACAACATTAACATTCTGAATAAATACGTGTTTCACAGGTGAAGATATTACGTTCTGTTTGGTACTATACTTGGGTAAGTAAATGCTTATCATTTATCCAAGGTTATTATTGCACGGTAGAATCAAATTTTAATATTTCCTTTATTGAGGGTTATTGAGGCAATATTGAGGGAGTTGAGGCTGTTTATTGAGTGTTATAGCAGAAAAATAATTAAAATACCTGTTTCTACATAATTCGCTATATTTCGCTAAGAGTAATACGATTAAAAAGTGAAATTAGTGTAGATAAATGAGATGAAATTAGGATAAATGAACGTTAAAATGTATGGATAACTGTATGTTGAATAAAGAATATGTTCAAAGAGAACTGGCTGAGAAACATATGTACAATTGTTCCTTTTGCTCTCCTCATATAAGATAATATCGAAGGCTCTCATTTTATAATTGAGTAATGCGTGAAGTGAATACAAATATAAATAAAATAATTTTCAATTCTAGTGCAGAAAATCGATGAAAAAATTGTGTTCTTGTGTAAAGTATAGAGAATATTTAATATTTTGATAATGAATAATGTTAGAATGAACATAAAATTATCAATAATTTTAAAAAACTGATTATGAGTAATTAGTTATGATTATGAATAAGTTAGTTTCGATTTTCAGTGCATTTGATTGGATAAGTAATGGTACTGTAAAATTATTATTGGTTGTTTGAGTTTTAGTTCCGTTTACATCACCATCGTTATGCGAGAGTCATGTGTCTAGGCGTAGTCTCAAAATGACGCTGTGCAAAAAAAGGTATTACTCTTTTTAGAATAGAGAGGGGAAACGCCCAAATTAAAACTAAACATTAAAGGAATATTGTTAATTTAAGTTATACTTTGTCTTTATGTATTTTTATCTTTCTTCCCCCCACATACCTATATCATACATATATAGAGAAGGAATGATGTAGATAGATAGATATTTTAACTTAACTAAAACCACTGTCGTGCCTCATGATTTGTTGATTATATTTTGCATTTGAACTCGATTATGAATTTGAAAGTAACTTTGATAATAATAAGAATTTTAAGTTGTTAGTTTTTCCATCTAAACTTTGTGCGATATAAACGAATATAGGTGATTATCCTCAAAAACGCACCTTGTTGCTTATATATTGGGCCTAGTTGATTTGGCTTTATTTTTATCCTGGCCTAGCTTTTCATTCATCCATAGTACGTATTTTAAAGTAGTTTAAATACCTCTTAAAGTAAAAATTTAACTCTTGATAATAGTCAGTGCCGCAATTTAATAGTACTAGATTCTAATCTTTTCATTATGTATGTACCGCACAGTTTTAAGTGAGTATGCTTATTGAGTAGCGAATCAAAACATAACTCATTTACTGATTATTCACTGCATTTTCAAATTTCGAATATGGAGAGCTTTAAGCTTTTCTTCTTTCGAAGTGCCAATATAACTCCCTATCATGTTATATAGAATTGGACAGGGTTTCGTGTCTTTCACCGTATGCAGCTTAAATTCAGGGTAATTACTCTTAGAAAAGTATCCTTTCCCAGGGTAGATTTCCTTAATATAATTTTTAAATGGTTAAATGAATTTTTTTAAGGGCCTATATAAAAAAAATCCTTAATGGAAGACACACGTTTTTAAAATCCATTTTCCTGTAATTTAAATAACTTATCGAAACCATTTAAATCAATTTCCTATAATATAAATAAATTATTGTAATTATGTGTTTTAACAATATTATTTTTATGTATGTACTTAGCATAAAGTTTTGGTAAAAGTTTTAAACTGTTCTATAACCTTGTAATTTGGTACTTCGCTGGAAATATTTCCCTGGTTTGTCGCGGCTTGCACGATGAGGTCGCAGAGCTTCGAAAAAAACTTCAGTACGTATTCGTTTTCATACACTACGTTGTATTGGAATAAGACCAGGAACAGCAGTGCGAATAGGAAGAGTGGCTGAGTGATTTGACTGAAGAAACTGAATGAATACGGTTACATATTAGTTACCATTATCTTAATGTATAAAAGAGAATTAGTAATTATACTTTATTTGCAATTCAATCTCTTTGAAATTTCTTTCCAGGAAATATGGAATGTGAATCGGTCAGTTGCGTCACTGTCACATGTGAAAATCCTAAGGTTGAACCTGGAAGCTGTTGCCCTTCTTGCAAAGAATGCAATTTCCAGGGCACCATTTACATGGATGGTGAAACATTTCATCCTAAATCTGATTCTTGCTATTTTTGTACTTGTGATGTAAGTATGATTAATGTTAATTATATATTGTCCTTCCAAACCCGCATACATATGTCTGATTACAAATCTAAGCAGTGCGTAAGATAAACTTTGTGATCTTTTAAGTTTTTAAAATTAGTATCATGCTCATGTTTATGAAACTTGCACAATTATGAAGGAATAAGCAAAACGGAATTAAGCTTATGGGAAATATAAAGCAGGGTCTGACATTCAAATAATAATAAATGCCAAGTGAATGCGGGTGCCCAGGCTCTGCAGAGTCCTGTAAAATGACCTGCGTGATTCCCACTTATATGAAAAGTTCTGAAAAGTCAAGAAGAAAAGAAGATGAAAAGATTCTGAAAAGAAGATTATGGTAAGTCAAAGAAAATAATATTCCGCCCTCAAAAAAAATTAAATCACCCCTGATTTAATTTAAAAAGTAAAAAGTTATAAGTAAAAAGTAAATTATAAGTAAAAAGGATACAAATTAATCCTCTTAAATAATTAAAATTTTATGTGTCAGACGGTCACAAGAAGTACTGTCCATAGAACGAAAGCGAATGAAGTGTTATTGTAATCTTTTCGGCTTTTCTTGAAGAAAGTATTTTTCTCATCTCATATGCGATACAATTTTATCATTTAATAACTCTTCCTTCCACCTATTAATTACTCTTTTCTATCTGTTTAGAAATCTAACTGGTCTATCACCACCCGTTTCAGAAGCCTAATTGCACTTCAAAAATAAATAGACTAAAATTATGGTTATTCACACTTAATTTTATAATTATTCATGATATTAGTATTTAGTCATTGACATTTTCCAGCTGTGGCATGAAATACCTTGTAAAATTATGGGAATTAAAAGTCTAATCTAGTGGGAATCGTGTCTTGTTAGGGGTTTAAATAGAGGGCTGGGAAGCGCCAGACAAGTAGTGTTTCATTTCCAATGAGCTAGAAATTATCTTATAAAGATCTGAAAATCGTGTTAACTTCAGAGAGCATCACATAAGCCAGGGTTTCTTAAAACTTCAGTACGTATTCGTTTTCATACACTACGTTGTATTGGAATAAGACCAGGAACAGCAGTGCGAAACTGTGGGTCGCCAAAAATTTTAGCAGTTATGATATTTCCTTAACTTATTATAATAATTTTACAATTACCAAATATTTTTACACAATGTATCTGAAAATAGGTAAAGATAATATAGACAAAGAAAAAAACGAAAACGTTTCGACGGCATTCTTTTTATAATATAAACGTTCATTTTCCTTGCTTTGCACGTCACGCTGTCATTTCGTCTGTTACTTATTTAAAATTTTCACATTGTTCTATGTCTTAAAATTAGAAATTAAAGTAAATGACCTAAAATTGAAATAGTATATTACAGTACAAGTGAAAAAATTGACAGTTTCACTCACGCGTGTGTCGGATTTGAGCAATACTTATGGGGTCGCACAAAATTTTTGTAAATTATGGGGTCCTGGGGTTTGCGAAAAAAATCTCAGTGATAAAAAGGGGTCGCGACTGAAAAAAATTTAAGAAACCCTGACATAAGCAAACTACAGAGTTCCAAAGGGCGCAAATTGCTGACCTGCGAAAAGGAGCATTTTCGTTACGTAACATAGCCGCCTCTATGGAACACATTTCCATGCTCGTGATACGAGTGTAGAAACAGTGAGCAGAAGAGAGACTCACAAATCGAAATTATGGCATTGGGCCAATAATATGAGGCTACTAAAGCATGAAAGTTATCTCATCGGCATGGCACTGAAGAACCGTGCAACTTGTTCTCAAGTGCTAGAACAGTATTAAAGGATTGCTCACACGTGTGCTACTGTCAACATCTACAGTCATTTCTCTAATTTTAATCTCGATACCCTTAGAACCCAATCGAAGCCTCTTTGAGTCAATGCAACGACGTACAGAAGCTCTTGCTGTCCCTTGTGGCATGTTAACAAAGTGCTGATTTTTGTGTCAATAATGTGGTTGTACATGTCAAAATGTTGGTAATTTATTTGACATACATTTCTTTCCAATCTGATAGTTCCTTCAAGGTATTACAATTTTCACAAGCATTAGTATATTTCTGAGTTAATTTCATGTTTCCTTTGACCAGCTTTTAAGTATTTCGCTATGATCCATCTGCTACGGCAATTCTGATGGTAATTCAGCTCAGAAACTTTATTTATGTACCTCGATCGCACTGTTAAATTTCGCAATATTCTTGTTACACTTTTAAATACTTAAATTTTGCGAGAATTGAACATGTAAAAAACTAAATTACTATTAATTTTTTTTTAGAAAGGAGCAGTTTCTTGTGAAAGGAAGATGGATCAGTGCAATCCCCAGTGCACAGATCCAGTAAAGTTACCCGGTCAGTGTTGTCCTGTATGCGATGGTAAGTTGTTTCGCAGCATCTCTCACTACCATTTTAAAACTAATTTGTAGCTGCTTGTACATTGTCTTGTATATTTCAATTATGTGCCACCAATGAAGTAGCAGATATTAAAATTGGTCTACTTATGTTTAACAGTAAATCCTTTTTATATTAGAGTCAACAATTGAAATAATTAAATGTAAGTTTTTACCTGTACAGAAAAATTACAAACATTGATAACTGATAGAAAGACCAATTATTCTTTCACACTAAGTAATAATAAAAAAACAGAATAATAGTTAAATTAAGCAATAACTTTTAATCCATGTAGAAAGCAGTTTCATAGAGCAGACTATAAAAGCCAAATGCAATTCACCATAAAATTCATTGTATCAAAACTACATTCAAGAGAAATAAGTTAGTCACAAAGAAGTATTTTACTTAAAATAAATAAGTTTTAAAGTTCAAATCCAAAAATTGAATAGTACTATGGCGATGTGTTTGTAAAATTTTAGAGTCATGTAAAAGGATTTCAAATTATATATATATATATATACCCTCTGTCACAAAAAATATATGCACCCAGAAGGAAATGAACTACTATCACGAAACTTAACATATATGTAGTGTATGAGGAGATAAACAAATGACTTCAAATTTAGAGCGAAAGATCGTTTTATTAAGAAGTTAAGACATGAAAACGGTTACAAATGAGTGCCAGCCTCTGGCAGCTATATATTCCGAAATACGGCGTGGCATCGAATCATGTAGATCACCTATGACCCCCTGCGGAAAATTATGCAACAATCTTTGCACCTGGGCAGTTAATTCACCAATATTCCGGGACGGCTGCCGTTGCCTTTTAAGCATGTCGCAAAAGTGCTCTATTAGCTAGAGGTGTGTTGACCTGTCAGGCCACGGGAGTAAGTGATTCCTTGAAGACATTTCTGGAAGAGTCGCCCAGTATTTGGACAAGCTTTGTCTTGCTGATAAATTGCGCCTGGGAGACTTGATAGCATAGGCAGTACAACCAGCGTTAAAATGTCGTCCACGTAACTTCGAGCCGCCATAGTGCCTTGAAAGGACACTAGAGGTGATCGTGTATCTCAACAAATCGCTCCCCACAGTGTCGCACCTTGTGTAATCGCCGTACGCCGCTCGACAACAAATGCCGGATCGGACCGCTGGCTTGCCCGCCTCCACACGCGTGTACGTTAGTCATCAGCACTGAGTGAATCGGGATTCATCATTGAAGATCACACGCCTCCAGTCGGTCGCACTTCAGCTTGCCCGAGTTCGGGAAAAATACAGTCGACACTGTCTATGATGTGGTGTCAATGGTCGGCGTCTTAATGGATTTCGGCGGAGTATACCAGCGTCGGCTAGTCGTCTCTGAATGGTTTTCCTTGATACTACTGGATGCCTGAAAGGTGATAAATGTCATCGAATCAATGTTAGCGACGTTGTTGGGGCGGAAGTGGCCCTTTTGTTCGATCATTCGTGTTCTCGGGACGCCCTGACTCTCTGCGACGGTAGACTATTACTTCCTGATCCATTATCACGAACACCGAGCAACTACCTTATCTCTCCGACCGAGGTCGTGGCCGATACGCCTATTCAACCAACCTGCTTCTCTGAGGCCTACTATACGCCCGTTCTTAAAAGTCCAACTGCTGCTCGTACTGACGTCGGTTACGTCTCAGAGGCATCTCTAGTCACAATACCGTCCATCCAAGTCGACAGATTAATTTGAATAGCCCTACGGCACGATCAATCATGTTTTTAAATTCTCCCATCTGCGAAACTCATATGCGCATAGCGCGGTTACCCTTGTCTCATTGGCGCCGAAATTTAAATCATTTGCACATCTGTTACAGACTGCATTTCTACCGAGTTTCGTGATTTTGGCTCATTTCTTCTAGGTGCATATATTTTTTGCGACAGCGCGTATTTATATATATATATTAGTAATAAATTAACTGTAGCTCATTAACTCCGCTCCCCTCTTCATTCTAAAAATAGCAAAAGTGTAACATTTCAAATATAATCTTTAATTTCTGTTATTCTGAAAAGTGATCCGTCATCTGATCTCTACTGCTTAATTATTCCTGGAATACGATAGAATCTTAACCCAGCATCCGAATATTAAATCTATTAGGTATCTGAATATTTTTTCGCTTAATGTAAACATTCTTGTAATGCAATCCGAAATATAATCTGTATAGAAGGTCTTCGCTGCACAATCTCTCTCTCTTTTTTAGTCACTTCTTGCTCGCTCCTTTTGGTCACCATTTTTATACCCTGTTTCGCTTTGCCGGTAGCCACACAGAGCTTACTTTCCGCTTTGTCCATTGTTTAAGGAGTTGTAAGCTGTACAAAATTGTGGGGCGCATGTGGCATCATAAATGATGCTGTGGGGTTTATCACTCAGTATTTGCAATTATGAGTGAAAACCTTAAGAACTAGTTAGCGAATAAACGCTTAAGTTCGTGTGACAAGAAACAACAAGATGGAATGGTGACTAACCCTTTATTATTCCAATAAGATTTAACAAAACTCCGTCTTGGAGTGTACAATAAAAGCCGACACTTGGGCTTGAACTTAAAAGACTAAGAAATAAACTAAAACTAAGATTAACTAAAGAGATATAGCCGAAGCTATCAAGATTCTAATCGAGTTGGCCCCGTAACTCTATTTGACTACGAAGCTTATCAAGGGGCTGAGTATGGCTGAGCGTAATAACAGCTTTTAGAGAGTGTAGCCAAAAGGCAGATGCGCGCAAATCAGAAACTCTGATTCTCTCTAACTCAACAAGTAGACTTCGTGGTTTAAATACCGCTCCTCCTCATTAAGTAAGAGTGATTCAGAGTGATTCCAAAAATACGTTCTGGCCGGAAGTAGTAAGTTAAGAATTTGACAGAAAAGGAACTTTAACTTCAAATTTAACTGTTAATAAAAGTAACATAATACTTACATAGCTTGTGAATCTGTTTATGCGTATAAAGGCTTGCACTATGACGAAAATAAAATTATATGTTCAAATCAGCGGCAACGTCTGCAAGTTTCTGGTTTATGCATTCAATCCACCAGGCCAAGTTATTTCATCGAACTATCTTCCTGTTCCATTACACATCTATTTATCTATCTCTATATGTTTGAGTAAATTAGAATTATAAATCCTGATTATTCTATCTAAGTGTAAGATAAATATTAAAGGTATAAAATTTTAAAGTTGAAAAAAATGTCAAGTTTAGCTTTTTGTACTGGACGTTGAAACTTGTTATATGAATAGTGTTATCTTTGAAATTAAAATTGAAATAACAATAATATTAACAGTTAAAAAATTAATATAAGAAGCAATGTAAAATGAAAAATGTAAAAAAAGATAAAATGAAAATTATATATACGAGGGCCATCCAGGAAGTAGATTACGTTTCCGTCTGTGTCCGCTAGGGGCGGGGCTAGCGCGGCCATCTTGGGGTCAGAGCGTTGCGCAGCTCAGTCTGCATCTAGCCGTGCTAGTGAGAGGTTCGTGCTGTGCTCCGTTCAGATACTGTGACGGTTTGAAATGTCTGCGTTAATTGAAAATCCCGCGAGCTGCGCTCAGTAATAAGGTTTCTGACTGCAAAAAACTGTAAACCGATAGAAATCTATCGGCAGCTTCGTGAAGTGTATGGGACAACATTATCACTGAAGGTGGAGTGCGTCAGTGGGTCATAAGATTTCAAAATGGCCGAACCAATGTTCACGACGAAGTCGAAGTGGGAGACCCAGCATAGTGACCGCCGAACTTCTCGAAAAAGTCGATGCTAAAAGTCCGTGAAAATCGAAATTTCACAATAACGGAACTTTCTTTGAGTTTTCCACAAAAATTTCGCGAAGTTTGTTGCACGAAATCATCAGCGAAAAGCTTGGTTACCACAAGTTTTGTGCAAGATGGAAGGCAAGAAGAGGTAACGAAGTGGTTGAAGGCGCAGGCGGCCGAATTTTTCGACGAAGGAATTTCCAAGGCTCGTACATCGCTACGATAAATGCCTTAATTTGTATGGTGACTATGTAGAAAAGTAGTATTTGAGTGTGGCTTTCATCTGTATATAATAAAATTTGTTTCCTATACTTTGTTTATTTTTTTATTCCAAAACGTAATCTACTTTCTGGATAGCCCTCGTATATATACACATTATAAGTAGTGATGACATTCGATTTAACATATAAAAGGTTCTCTAAAGAAAACTTTATGAAACTTCAGTTCAAATTTGTGCGCCATCCTAATTTAAAAAATATCAATTCTTTGCACTAAGTCAGAATTCAGATATTAATTTAAAAGCATTTATAAGGAGGAGTATTGTAGTAATAATAAAAATAATTTTTGTCGTTAGTTTTTATGCTTTTGATATACGGTAATCCAGATCCAGTAATCATTCATGATTGCGAGTAATGTTTCATAATTACGAGTAATTTTTCATGACTACGATTTCGGTGAAAAAAATTAAATATTTTCCTTTTTAGTCCAAAGGGGCTTTGTCCCTGAAGAACTATTGTTTTCGTTTTGCTATTTTGTGTCGAATGACTATAAACGGCGTATCCCTTCTCAAATTATTGCCACCAAATGATAGAGTCCTGCATTATATTTGAAGAAATTAAATAATAAAGAATCTGCATAAATGTATATATGTTTCTTGCATTGTGATAAAATAACGGTACCTAGAGCCATCCAATTCTGAATGACGTAATACTACTGCGAATATGGGCATCTGAAAGCCCAAATTTGAAATTTGGAATTTGTTTTATTATCGATTTCATATTTTGTAAAACTTTAACGAATTTTTGATTAACAAACTCAACGATTTAAAAGCGAGGAATGGCAACACTGTACGGGAAAAAAATAAAGCCTTTTTATCTCAGCTCGTAGAAATGTGTATCGGGATTTCTAAATATATGCTCGTTTTAAAATTATTTTGTGACTGAACTGAATTTTATGGTTTAAGTGCAAAGAATATGATATTTAATAAATAAAGGAAACACAAAAAACGTTAAATAAATGCCCCTTTGGACGTAATTTCAAATCTGAAAACCTTTCAGTTTTTTTTTTATTTGAAAGTAGGAACGATGTGACTTTTTTCTTTCTTTTTTTTAATGCTGAAATTCATCAATGTTGTTATGTATGGTTTGTGTTTGTTTCTGGAATAGATAAAAGCCGCCCTTTGGGAATTCGGCTGCCGTAGCCTCGGGGCCATATTCAAAGCCACATAGATACATAGATGTTTGTAATTGTATAGCGTTTGGCGGGAATGTAATACTTAAAACGCTATCGAACCGAAAGTCTTCTCTAGAGGTTGACGGTTGGGGAAAAGGATTGGGCGACGCTTCCGCCTCCAGAGGAAGTTTTCTTCAAAAGTAGCACAGAGCTGAATTACTAATTCGTATTGTTACCTATAAGAGGCACAAAACTGACACACCATTTTTTCTTCGCCACGATAAAATCCGTAAACCTGATCTGACTGTAGGTTCAGATCAAGAGATTAGAAGCAACAATGCAACAAATGAGTTCATATTTAATTATCCTTATTTGTTTTGCGTTAGCAGCATATCTCATTAGAATCTATTTCTATATTCTATATATTCATTCTGTTGCATCTTTTAAAAATTACCATTTAAAAGATTGAATAATGCAAAAGAGTTGTGACAGTTATTTTAAAACTCGGCTGCTATTCGCAATTTATTAATTTACTTTTTTTAAATATCCTTTTTTTGTAGTTGTTTTCTCCTCTGATAAAAGCAATTGTAAAATTTTTTTTTGATTTTGTGATTCTTCTGAAATTTTAATTTATTTCCATTCGTAATATTACTTGAATCTTTTTTGGAGGGGGGGGGAGAAAGAGAAACGCATTTTTTGCTTTGTAATCTGTATATGTATTTTAATTTATGAAATGAACAATTATTGATTTAAATTCTGCCTTTTGCTTACCAATGAAGATTTACTTTCAGGTTGTGAATATGAAGGAAAAGTATTAAAAAACAAAGAACGTTTTTTCCCTAATCCACTTAATCTATGTTTGCAGTGTGAATGTATTGTAAGTATAACAGGTTCTTTTTAGCTTGAATACCAAACATGTATATGTTTTTGAACAAAATCTTACAAAGATATGTTGTAATATTTTTTTTCCAATGGCAGGCACTTGCCTATAACGGGATTGGCCATTTCTAAAGCCAGAAGTTGTGGCCATTTTATTGTGGAGGCACCTAATAGGCGGCACCGCTACCGCCTGTGAAGGGACAGACAATTTTACATCCATGCCTTCTCCAGGACTCGAACACCCCCCCTTCGATATCGCAGTTAGGCTCCCCTAACCACTATACCGTCTGGGCGGCTATTGTTGTAATATAATTTATATGTTATGCGTTTTATATGTTGCAATATAGTTTGGCTTTTATAACTAGCCTATTTCTGAATTTTTGAACGATGATATTCCTTTCCTCATCTGATTCTGTGGATTTGAAGTTTCTATGAAAGGCTCTGGTTTTGTGGTTTTCCCTCCGTAATCTTTTGTCCATCAGGTTATATTGCTCAGTACTGTTGGTGTTCTCTTCTTAAATGTTTGGTTGCAGATGATTTGTATCCTTTTTATTATTTCTTCTGTAGTTTTGTTGATTTCTTCTGTGTTGCTACAATAATTGATCTAGTGTATCATGGTTTCTGTATATTGGTTCAGGTGTTGTACAAATATTTTCTATCTTCCTTTCTTTATTTTAAATCTGGCGATTATGGTGCTTGTTGTCGATTCGTTGATGTGGAAGGTAACATATTTATGATCTGATCCGGTATAGTCATCTCGAACTCTTCTGTTGTGGATTTTATTTCTTAGATGCGGTGATTTGTCCAACCTTAGCTTCGTATATTGTCAAATATTGGAAGATCGATTGGATGATTATGAAGGATTAGGTTATTGGAGTTGAATTCTTCTAGCCGCAAACCTCTTGGATTTGTGTCTTAATAACCCCAAACTGCCTTGTGAAATTTGAAGGTCTCCACTGATGATTAATTTCATTTGAAACTCTGGATTAGATCGTTGAGTAAATGAAGAGTCGAGATGGGCTCTTCCGATGATGAGATGTAAAGAATGGTGATCATTAGATGTGAGGTTTCGGTTTCTGTCGAAAGGATGACAAAATATCTTAGCAATAGAGTTGAGTTAACTTGCAATAATAGTTGAGTTTCATTTGTTGTTTGTGCAAATTATGGCAGTTCGGAGAGGGAGGTCTTCCGGAGGGTAGAACTGTTATTACTTTCTAAGCATTTGGAACTCTGTTTACTTGTCCATCAAAGCAGTATGTCTCTTGTATAGAGATAAACTCTGATATAATGTTGAGTTAGTTGATTGTTAGGTGTTGATTTAGTTGATGGGGTGCGGGTGTAGCTTTATCGAGGCAGCTTATTGCGGTGTTGTAGTTGTTGGTGATTACTCACGTTGTTGAGGTAATATTTATTTTTTGTGTACCATAATTTTTATTTAGAATTTATAAGCTGTTCTTGTTCTTACTTTCTAGACCGTCTGCTTAGTAACTGGCGCAGCAGATGCACGAGGTTATGGGTGCGAAGTTTAAGCAAATTTTTTATTGTTTCGCCAGCAATTGATGCGAAATGGAATGCCTGCTCTGCAGTTAGAGACATCGTGTGCTCCTCCACAGAAAGAACAGTCGGAGATGAATTAACAGCTGGTACTCTTACGCTCAAAATCTCGGCATTTATAGCATCTTCTTATCCCTTTGAATTCTGTGACGCTCTTAATCCTCCAACCTAGGTAAGTCTGTTTCTTGGTGATGCAGTTTTTTGAAGGAGCTGCTTAGACATTCTACCGCCCATTCTTTAGTATTATTTGGACCGTTTAACTTTGAAAATAGTTTGATTTCTTCTGCTTTAAATTGCGTTTATTATGCTAGGGTCTTGATTAATTCTTCTGGATTTGGGGGTATATCACTGACTGTGCATTTTGCTGTAGGGGCTTGTGGGATTCTGATGCCGATAATATTTTTGGTGCCTCTTTACTACTGATTGAGTTGTTCTGCCTGTAACATTGAATTATTAATCCTCTCTGTCTTACTGGAGTGATCCTCTTGATACTCTCTCCGATTTGTTGAAAAGGGGTCAGCTTGTGGAGTTTATCTTAAAATCCTTTTACCAGTCGGTCGTATTTTGGATTTAATATCATCCAGTTGCTTTCACTTTTGTCTGATGGGATTTTGCTGGCTACTTCTTCATACGTTTTTGGAGGTTTGTCATTGGGTTGATTAATTTGTTGGTTGAGCTCAGCATAAAAGTCTATGATCTTATTATCTCAAATCGTGCCACCTGTTGGTAAATGGATGTAGCACTTGTCATTTTCATTGTGTAGGTTTATACTGTTGACGTTATCGTGGATTTCTACTTCGTTGTTGTTGAAGGGAAGTTGTTTGTTGCTGATGGTGACTTTGTTCTCAAGGGTACTGGGCGCTATCCTATTTTCCGTACAATCGCCCTCCCTTTGAATGGCGGGAATGGAGTAGAAATGGGGTAGTGTGGTGCATCTAGTGTTGTAACTAATTCTTTGGGGAAAAGGTTACTTCCTGGGAGCAAATTGATGTTGCGGTGTTTGGTTCCAATTCCAAATCAATTCTGGCATCCTGTGTTATTGAGAAAATAAAGCGATAACTTGATTGCAGGGTGTATAAAGCACAGACTGATAATTCTGTCATTTCACTTAATGATTTTTGCAGGAGTATGTGCTCTATTAGTGAAGAATTGGACAGTCTTAACAGCAAAACATGAAATTAAAATTCTTTGTTCTACACGAAAAAGTTCTTATGATGAAAGGCCCAGTTAAATATCCTATAAATTCAGTTTTGTGCATATGTCCTAAGCCTTTATATTCATTCATAAAATCAGAGTAAAGGGTATTAAATTCTGTATTTTTATCCAATCTTTTCCATAACCTTTCTAATCGCGTTTTAGACAAAGTTTCACATTCACCCAATTACAAATTGTCCCTTAATGGCGAATTCACAGTATTTTCTTATGATTCCATCTCTATGATATGTTTCACAAAAGATATTTTCATATTCAATATCCTCGTCTTTTAAACTGGGTGTATCCTCAATGTTATCCAAATTCCCAAACTGTTTAACACTTGTTTCCAATTCATCTAACTTAAACATGAAATTTAAATGTCCACCCTTCTCTGCCGTAGATCAAGACTACAAGCGAAATTCATAGATGTCGCTGATATTTGACTCCCGGAATCAAATATTGCTCCAGCCTTAATCGAACATCCATTTTTATGTTTTGCATATATCATAGTAGTAGCCAAAACCATATTTTTAATTTTTGTTCCAAAGCAAGATGAGGTAGATTTCGAAATTGCACACGTATCAGTGCTTACGTATTAACGCAACCACCTTAGTAGAAATCGCCAAATTTTTAGAATGCACCAAAGTCTGCAATAATGCGCATAACCATTCTTCCGGCAACCACGCTCATATTAAACATTCATTGAACATTCTTTTCTGTTGTATTTCAAGTTCCAACAGTTTTTATAAACAATATATTTGTTTTTATAAACAATATATTATACAATATTTTTTGCCTTTGTTTTCAGAACTTGTCAGCAATGTAAGAAACTGCGCTAAAATTTTTGCAGGGATACAGAATTGTGCGGAAGAGTTTTTAAACGGAACAACAAGGAAATGCGTTTCCTAGATAGACGCTGTTGCTCAGGGCTGCATTAAGCCCAGTGTCCGAAATTCTGTGATGTTTTTTAAGAGAAAACAGATGTCTATATACTTCAGGAGAAGAATAACGAAAAAAAAAAATCAGAAAGATTTTGAAGAAGAACGTTAGTGTTTTATTTTTTTAATGTATCACGTAAACCTTATTTAATGATTCAAATTTGTACTTTAAATCACTAAAATATGTTTTCTTTTCATACGTTAATAATGAATGTTTAACGATTTACGATAAATATCGATAGTTTGGGAATCTTTCTAAAAGGAATGCGAAAAACGTCGACTTGCACCCGATAAGTAACTTTTACCTTTTCATCTGTAAAAAATCGCCAGATTGCTCCAAGGTGATTGCGTTAATATATAAGTACCTCTATATTTTCATTAACAATTTGTTTACAGTTACTGTCTACAGAACTTCCTGTTTCGCCTCGCTCGTCCTTGGTTGTATAAGTTTAAGAGACGTCAAACGTGGAGCCATTCAGCATTCTGTGCAAATGATAGTTGTGGGACCTCGCCTTACAAAATTTACATGCATATTTTTTAACAGTTAATTAACAAATGCAATTTTGGTAAGCAATTAATGTTAGTAAAGTTTTTGCTTCTTAAAAAAAATCAAATCTTTGAATAGAGTTTATTTTCAAAAAGGAATCATAGTTATACAACAGATGAGATGATATTTTGCACAAATTAATTTTTTAACATTTTTTTTGAAAATATGGAGATTTTTGTTTCTATATTATGACATTCACGTTTTTATAAATTTTCCAGAATCTGCCATCTCTCTTGAAGAAGCGAAATTAATTTATTCCAAACAAGCAAATCTGAGGATGTTAAAATCATTTCATATTCCTTACGAATTCTCTGATCCAATTTTTGCGAAATATTATTTATTTACAGATTTTCATTAAAATTATTTATTTCAATGTTCATTACCTTTAAAACTCTAATATGTGTTAAAATAAAATCCAGACGCATTCATTGATTTTCAGCCGACTCAAATGTGATATTATCTAAACATAGTATAGATTACATATGACTATTTCCAATTAACCTTTATTTTCATATCTATTTTTGATTTCTGTTTTTAATTCGTGGGTCTTTTTCTAAGGGCAGTAAGTAATGACTCAAACGTATCATCCGTACTTACAATTTGTTAAGCATTTTCAAATAAACTGATTGTAAATTAAACAATTTCTGACTATCAGATAAAAATTCATTAGGCTTAATTATACTATCGAGTTGAATATTAAAATTAGTCCAATTTTCGTAATTAACGGTAAAATTATTTCTCGAAGCTTAAGATTTAATTTTTGATTATATTCAAAATGTAAATTCTTAACATGCAATGACCCAATTGGCCTAGATTCCAAAACATGTTTAAATCTTGACTAGAAGAGAAACACGCTAATGTGACAATCAAAATCGTAAAAACAACCTTGTATTTAGCGTAAGTATATTGAAACACTCAATCGATTTCGAGGGCAGCTAAAGGTACCTCCTCATCAGGAGAAAGAAATACCTAGAAAGAAGAAAACTAAAGGAAAAGGAGTCTCAGAAACACGTGGTCCTTATCAGCACTGCAGGTGGTTATAATCGGATTTTTAATCAGAATTACACTGGCCGCCTACTTTTACTGAGCCAGGCTATCTGATCAAACATGGCTCATCATAGCCTGGCTCAGTAAAAGTAGGCGGCCAGTGTAATTCTGATTAAAAATCCGGTTATAACCACTTGCAGTGCTGATAAGGACCACGTGTTTCTGAGACTCCTTTTCCTTTAGTTTTCTTCTTTCTAGGTATTTCTTTCTCCTGATGAGGAGGGACCTTTAGCTGCCCTCGAAATTGATTGAGTGTTTCAATATACTTACGCTAAATACAAGGTTGTTTTTACGATTTTGAATGTTTAAATCTTACCATTTGCTTTTAGTGCTCTTCGTTAATTTCGTCAAGCACGTTTTCACACTCTTCAACGTCTTTCTCTTCAACGTCAATCTTTAAATATTCTAAAACTTTTACAATATTAAAAGATTGACGTTAACTCATCGAGTTTATCTTCCATACGATTTAGATTTTTAATTTTACTACTAAAATTAAATTTATCCATTTTCTAGATTTTTCGGAACTAAATTTTGAGAGCTTGTTTGTCTTAGCGTTTATATTTATACGACGTCTATTTACAGCCATTAAATCCATAGGAAACTGGAAAATCCTGCGTAAGGCTTGACCACACAATATTTTTGGACGAATGAAACGAAGACAAATTAAAGCTTTAAAATCTTTATTGTTTGGATTTCAGGCTTCACAAGATACAAACAGGGCTTACTTATTTAATTCTACTATAAATTATTATTTAACTTTAGAATCACTTCCTAAATCTAATACTTTGTTCGAGAGCATTTAGTGGAACCCTGTTATATCAAGCCTAACTCCTGTCCAGATGAAATGAAACTGGCTAAAATCGAATGGAACAGAATCGCTTCTCGAATTTGACAGAATCGTGTCAAGAACAGAGCCAACATACCCCGTCATTACTGAATAATATCCGACTGCTAAATATCAGTATGGAAAGACAATGAATTGTTCGATAATGTGAATTGGTTGCAGCTTTTCCTCTTTTTAAACTGAGAATATCGCTACATATCTGTGGTTCGCAAATTGTGGTCATGACCCACCGGTGCGTAGAAGGAAAAAAATTAGCGGGTCCCAAAAGCGTTTGAGATACTCTTTTGCTTATTGCATAATTACGCATATTTACCAGAAATTACGAATTTACTTATAATTACAAATTAACTCTTAATAATTACATTATTTTTTTCTATGAATCTGCTTTTTACCCCTACATTTCTTTCAGAGCATTTCTATGTACGTGGATCACAACAAATTGTAACTGTATGCTTGCGGATCGTGATGATTCCCAACTATATACATGTGGGTCACGAGGTTAAAATTGCTGAGAGTAGCGCTTTCCATTAGGATTCCATGTCCCTAGAGACTACCACCGTTAAAGCTATAGGCCCGTAGACCAATACTTTTACTATACTGAATAATTTATAAATGTGGATAGGAAAAATTTCTGAGATATTTGTATTTTTATAACTTATTTTAATACGCAGTTTCGTAAAGAGCAGCAGAATTTTGTAACCGAATTTATATGATTTGACTTGAAATAAGTATAACGTATAGTCAAAACTTAAAGGTCCTCTTAAATAAAGCTTTTTTTTTTATTTCAGTTCGATAGATTAAAACAGATTTTTTACATGTATCCAGATTTGACTTACTTAATGTATGCTTCTGTTTTACGACCATTCCTGCTTTTAAAATTTATTTTCATATATACAATTTATGATCAATATTTTCATTATTTGAGTCCATCTGCAAGTTTCATCTTCTGTTATACATTTGTGTGTGGGAATATATTTTAGAATTTTCTTTGGTTTTTCCAGAATGGGAACGTTAAATGTTCTGAACAGCAGTGTCCCAAACTCAGTTGTCCAAATCCGATCAAATCTGAAAACCAGTGCTGTGAAGAGTGCTTAGAATATTGCAGAGACAGAACGAATGAGAACATTCAACATAATGAAGGAGATGTTTGGATATCGACTGAAAATCCATGTGAAATTTGTAGATGTAAGGTAAGGCCTCGATGAACAGATTTTTACAACTTTGTTGCGAACAAAAAGTTTTTTTTTTTTTTTTTTTTTGGATTTATAAAGCTTAAAAATATAAGTTTCCTTAGAAAATATACAATAAGATTAAACAAAAATTTGGTAACAGTTTTGAACTAAATTTGGAGCATTAGATCATTGGCAGTTTGTGAAGATACAAATGATTTTTTTGCTTTCTCAAAACTTACGTGCTAACACGGTAGATATTTAAATCATTACTAATCTTTTGAAAATACGAAGATATAATTATCTCTGTTGTAGCTTTCGACAGAGTTCCCTTGCGGTTTCAATGTTGACTGATTGATTGCTGATGCAAAGTACAAAATTACTAAGCGCCGAACTTCTCACAGATTACATATATTTTAAATTTCAGTGCTAATTGAGAAGAAAGAATTAACTTATTTAAAATGTAATTGCAGTTTCTGAAATCTAAAAATATAGTAGTGATATTAAAATTCTGAAGAATGAGAATATAAATCTTCTTTTTTAATAATAATCTGATCTTCCAGTTATTATATAAACACAATCCTTTTAGTTTAAAATTGAATGCTCTAAAGCCGCAGTAATCAAAACATTATAAACAAAATATATTTAAAAAACAAAACTATTTGGCTAAAAATAAATTCGATAAAATAGCGGAACTATTTTATCGAACGCAGTCTAGTGGCAACGAAATCAACTTACGGCAGTCGACCTCTAGCAGTGATGAGAATAAGTTCTTCTAAGATATGTCTGCATTAATCGAACATTAATTCTAATTGTTAAGTGTTCCGTTTTGGTGTATGTTCTGTTTTGCTGCATATTTTCTTTGTAACTGTTTCTGTCCTTTGGTAATAAATACAGTTAGAGGTAGCCAGCATTTATGTTTATAGAAGAACGGTTACAACATTTAATTAATAAAATAAATAATAATAAGTTATTAAGTACCTTATAGTAAGAAACTAGAATAAAAATACATATGCTGTTCGCGCAGTTTTTAGACGATTTTGCTTTGCTATAAATCGCATGCTTGAAAAATTAATTTTTAACTGCAACTATATTTTTGAAAGTATAAATTATCGTCTGCTATTTGACAATTTTATTTTCATGCAGAATGGCCTTCTTAAAGAAGCAATGGACGGAAGGCTATGTTTGTGTTCTTTCCGAAGAAAATTATTCTTAGTTAGTTATTAAAAAAATGCCGTGAACACCATGAGTTTTCGGTATCTAAAGGAATGACATATAATGTTGTAAATTAGAAAGGAAATAAAACGTCAAAGTTTGGTTTCGAGGGGAAAAATTGTTCAAAATACATACCTAAGGAAAAAAATCTGATATGTACACCACATGACTTCCTTATACGGAATATTAAATTATACGCATTTTTTCTTGCATTTCATTTAAACTTATTGGATTGAATTAAATCTACTTCGCGGACAGCGCATAAATCACAATATAATAAATGCACTCTTTAAAATTCACTCTAGTATTTGTTTACCATAGCGACACTCTATCGCTAGATTCACTTAGCAGTATTACATTTCGTTCATATTATAACTCATAATGCACAAAATTTATATCATTTAAAGAATAGAATTATCTAATCGTTGCCACATGTTCTATTCAAATACTATAATAAAGCTAGAATGATGTATAAAAGAAATTAAGCAAATAAAACAAAAAAGAAACAGTTTTTCACAGATGATTGAGTATTTCTCATTCAATTAATTCAGTTCTCACTTCGCGAGAAGGCAAAAATACATAAAAACTCAAAATATCTATATTAAAAATTATGAAGTAAATCTTAAACACTTATTCCCTCGAAAAAATTCCAGAAAGGATTAAGCATGATTTAATTGGCAATAATAAATTATTATTGTTGTTGCGTTATCTTTGTTGTTGCGAAGCTAAGTTTCTCTAGATTGGCAACAAATCCACTAGTCTGCTGTTTCAAATGTAAACAATCAATGGCCGCCATAAGAAAAAGGCTTAGCGGCACTTAAACAACTTTAAATTGTTGATAATTCTAAAAATATTGCATACAGATTTACTAAAGGCATAAAAACCTTAACCGAAAGATAAAAACAACATAATTCAATCATTTTTAAAGCAAAAAATGTACAATTTACAAACATATAAGAGTAAAGAAACTGAGATCACTGAGCCGGGTAACAGAGTGGATATATATATAAATATATTTATATATGTTTGGTGCGGCCGATTGAAACCAAAATACGAGGTGCACATCTACATGTTATAGCAGTCCTATATACAAAATTTCAACGTTCTGCGGCTACTCGTTTTTGAGTTATGCGAGATACGTACGTATGTTCGTACAGACGCCACGAAAAATTCTCTTCAGTATTAATTTTAAAGCAGTTTTATAATTTTTTTGGAGGAAACGAGTCTTTTATTCTGTCCTTACGTACAGATATCGCGCAAAAACATCGTTAAATTGCATTCGATAGCGGTCAAAATGGATATTTTCGTTGAAATATGCTGCCTGAAACTTTTCGCGATTACAATACTTCCTTTTTACTTCGTACAAGGAAGTAAAAAGGAATGCTCGAATGTTGCAAAGGTAAGAACTTTAATGTTAAAAGAAAATCTTCTAAGTCAAAGGACAGTTGCATCATCATTAAAATGCACAGTTTCAACTGTAAACAAAGTGATTAATGCTGACTTGAAAAGGCACTTTTTAAAAAGGCAAAAAAGCGTAGTGTGCTTCGCCTTTCTCCACGACATATCGTCGAAAGCAGAAAGCGATACATAATTCTGTACGAGAAACAATTATTCGGACAAAAATGAAAAAATGTTGTCACAGTAGATAATCTTGGGTATATTTAAATGACCGCAATCAAAGAGACCTATTTATTACCATCAAAGAGAGGAAAGAAATCTTAGAACATGGTCAAATAAACTAAAGAAACTCTTTCAAAGGAATTTATGATCGTTGTTGGTTTTTGATATAAGGACAAATAAAAATTAAAGAGAGTTCAGAAAACTGTTCATATGAAGTCCACATATTATCAGGAACACATTTTATACACAGTTTTCAAATATGAAGTGCTTTCTCTTTACCCATAGTTCCATCAATCAGTGGAACTGCATCATAAATTAAGTAGCTGCAGGTCAAAATACACTGCCAATTTCCTAGAAAAAAATGAAACAAGAAACTTGTATCAAGGCGATACCTTTTACTCATGTCCCTAATAAATCTACTGATGTATCCCTCATGGAATTTTGCGCTTTTTTGGACTTTTAAACAGCGGATTGTCCAGATGTTGACCTACAGCCCACCTTGAACTTTGGAAAGCTGTTCAAGAGGAATGGAATTAAACACCTCTTCCACTATTAAAAAAGCTTTATTGTCATGTAAATTACGGTGTAGAAAGATAGATAAGAGTAAGGGTATCAAATGGAGTTTTTAAAATACAAAAGGTTTAGGTAAAATACTTCTGCAAATACAATGAAAATCGTCTAAAAAATGTACGAACAGCCTTAGTATAACAAATCATGTAAAGAGAATATGTAATAATAAAAATTATAATATACTAAATTCGGAATACTTCGGAATAGGAAATTTATTTAAAATAATTTCGAGATTTAATTTAGGATTCAACTTACATGGTAAATCGAAATTTAGAAAAGTGTAAATTTAAAAAAAAAATTAAATTAAGTAAATAAATACCGATCTATGGCCTATTTCTTTATCAAGTGGATACTCCAGATTATATAAATCTTCCGATATTTAATAGATAAGAAGAAAAATCAGGCTACATTTCTAATTGTTCATCCACCATCACTTTCACCCTCGAGACTTGAATTCTTGGTACTTAGGAAAGAGGATCAATTTGTTTGCGGAGCGCTGGAATACGGCGTGAGATGTCCGAATTTTAGCTACACGGGAAAATCCATATGATTCTAGATATACCTCCACTATTCTTCTCATTTGCCGTGTAACGAATTTAAATTGCTGTAAAAAGTTACTCGATAAATTTGATTATTGGTGTGTTTAAACATTTCATCATTCCACTGCAAAAAGGTAGAGTTGAGAGCTAACTTTAACAATAAAGTCATTGATGCTATTTCTTGAAGCAGTAACTTTTGCTGATGTACCGCATTGGTCTGTTTTTTGCTCCATAACTCATGAGATTTTTAAGTTATGAGGCTTGAATGATATCCAAGTTACCAGTAATTATGTGTTGGTGATGCGAATCTAGGTGCTGAATGAACTGAATATTAATTATATAGAGTTATCTAGCTCACGGTGCTTGGTAAGAGAGCTGCTGAAAGTTTAATTGGTCTAAAATTCTTTCTACTATTAAAGCTTTAAAACAACAATTTGGGTGACTAAACTTGATAAAGCGAATAATAACTTCAGCATTATTTGAAAATTTTGCTGCAAAAAATTATTAACACAGAACTATTCAACGCTAATACGCATCAGCTTACTAATTCAGCTGAGACATCAGTAATCAACAAAGTTAAAGTCTCATAAACCACTCAAATTTCTATAGAACCAATCGTAACATATTTTCTAACCTTTACGTTCTTCCTAAGTTCCATAAAACCTCGCATAACTACAAGAAAAATATTGACTATTTAGTTGCACTGCAGCTTAAAAAAAACTGTAAATTAATAGTCGCTTCTAATAATACAGAACAATATTGCTGGATTATCAATAATAACCTAACTGTTATTTAAGCTATTCAGTCTCGTAATATACAAAATCTCAACTGTTATGCCTTTGAAAATTTATATAGTCCACTTGCATTAGAAGGAATCTATTATAAACTTCTTTCTCTGCTAGAACTTTTCTCTAATATGCTCACCATACTTGATTTTAATAAACGGAAGACCTTCCTTAATTGCACTATTTTAATAACTTCATGAAATTTCAAAATCGACTTTCTAAACAAGCAAAGGCATACCCATGGGAGCTCACACACTTTCTAGCTTGTGTAATCAATTTTTATTTACTAAAGAATTTACGTTCTAAAAATCTTTACAACAAGGAGATTTAATTTTCTAGGCTGATACTTGCAGATACATCGATGACCTAGTTACTTTTAATAATTTTAAGAGAATAGAAAATTCCCAAATTTATCTAGAAAACCTAAAATATAGTAAAACTAATTCATTACAAAAACAATTTCGACTGTCTAGATCTCCAAATAGTCAACTACATTCAAATTCAACTCTTTGACAAAACACGTAGCTTTCACTTTACTACTAATAAATTAATTAACTGGACTTCAAATATTTCAAAAAACGTAATTAGTAACACAATAATTAATCAAGAACAACGCATGAAAAAAATTTGTACAGATACACTAGATGTTTTGAAAACGAAATTTTACTACTTATTAAAATTCCTAAAAATAATCAAGTGCCAAATCAATTTATTAATATTTGTCTTTAAAAAGCAGACGTTAAATACTAAATCTAATCATTTTACTGGTACGGCTATGATAATATTTTTCTAAATCTTCAAAACGCGGATGCTGTTGAATGTCTATCAGTTTAAGGATTTGTAAATTTTGTAATTATTCCTGTAATCATTGTATATGATGTAAAATATTAGCTTCTTCCGCAGTTTTTTTTTCTTTTATTAACAAAATGGGCCGATTTCAAATTCTAGAACTTCTTTGCAGCCCGTTACAAGTGAAGATTATCTGTTTTTCTACTTTTCTTTGTACGTTTCAGACCATTAGCCAGAAATAAATTAATTTCTTTTGGTTGATAAAAGTTTAAAGCCAGTTTCAAATAAAACAGACAAATTCTGTCGCCAGTTTTATGGCAGCCCGTGCACAAACTAATTTTCCCCAGCTGTCCAAAAATAACATCCAACATGTCACCGCCGTCGAATTTTTTACTATAAGTTCGCTTTCTTAATTTTCCTATTTTTATTTTTCTATGGGATAATCCAATAACTGTTCTTATAAATAAATTCTTATTTTCTTACTTAGCAGCTTTAGCTCAAGAATTAGGCTTTTTAAATACAAAATTACCTAATTTAATTAGTTCTTCCAAGTATATATATAATAAATAAGGTAAAGTAAAAATAAGTATAATTAAACACGCAAAAGAAATTTAGCAAAAAAAAAAAAAAAAAAAAAAATATTATGTAATAAAATTGTAATCTTAAACTTTTTGCTTTTATTAAAATTAAAATTAGAAAAATTATAGAAATCAAAATGCAAAACAAACTTTTAATAAAGGAACACATGAGTTGGAAATAAAAATAAAAATACATACGACAAAGCTGTATTATCACTCTTTCACATTTACTTTCTCAAGAGAAGGACAGTCATTGAGAGACAACACCTCTTCTCCAGGAGTATCTTTTTTTTTTCCTATGCACTCAAAATTAACCAAGGTACAAGATAAATAAATAAAAGTATTTTAGGACTTTCGAAAATTAAATGTGCCTCGTCTACAAAAAATATGCCTCCAACTTATTTTTCAAACATACAATAAGAAAATTTTTATAAACCTATACAAAATTTCAAGGTCAAAACAATATGGAGTTATTTTATTAATCTGGGTTAATAACTTGAAATTAGCGTCAAAAACTACATTGGAAAAATAATTACAGAAAAATATGGAAGAAAATGGAGTTTACTACTTAGAAGGTGGGATGGAGAATACCGTTCTTAAAAAGTTGCCAAACTTAAAAGAGCAGAGAGAAGAAAATAGTCGGATTGCCGTAGGCTAGTATTAATCTCGCCATGTACAACAGGCGAATAGGCTTATGTTAAATGAATAAATTAATATTAAGTAAATTTGAGGAAGAATAAAAATACCATTGTTAGGAAAGGAGACTTTTTCTACACTAATCGACATATAATACCTAATTTTGTAATGGAAATGTTTTTTATCCATTCAAAGAATAAGTAGGACTATTATACAAATGTTAATGCAAATTATACAATGAAGTATTTTTTTTTTACTTTTATACATCATGAAAACATTTCTAACACATCCGCATTGTTCCTCCTAAAAGGTTTAAGAACAAACTTCAGATCGTCAGGGTAATTTCATAGGTTGTAGATTATTTCAACTTTTCATAACTGTCCTTGAATGAATTTTATGGGAATTTTATTTACTTTTAACATTTGAACAGGAACAAATACTTCTTTCTATTGTTATTCTAACTCGATACCAATATTTTTAATCCGTTTAAGGTGATTCATAGTAGTATTAGCTATTACTTTCTTGAAGATATTATTAAACCAGTCTACGAGCTTAATGGTGGGAAAACTGAATTCTCGTCTTACGTCGTAGAACCTAATTTATTGGATACTGGAAATGTTATGATCCAGATAATCCACTGCAAGATGATCTTTATTGGTCTTGTTTAATTTGAGAAATTTTGGGTAGATGTTGAAATTAAGAAATCTATATTTATAAAAAAATATATAAAATATATAAAATCTAAAAAATTATAAATTAAAAAAAAAAAATTCTTCTTAATTTACGTTATATATATATATATATATGCTGAATTAGATATCTGTTACCTGTTGAATCAAAAGTATTTTAAAGAGGTTAAATTAAGGTATTTCCGTGTTCAAAATTTCCGTATATAATTACAGGATTCTGTTGTTCTCTGTGAACGCACTGATTGTCCTCCTGTTCACTGCCAACACGCTGCTGCCCCATTTGGAGTATGCTGTCCAGAATGTGAACACTGCGAATTCACTCACAGATTGTACAGAAATGGCGAAGAATTTAATCACAGAGATGACCCATGTCAAATATGTAAATGTCAGGTATATAACTTTGGATTAAGAAGTGATTTGAAATTCGGAATAATACTCTTTACACGACAGACAATTAAAAATTGCATATTGAGCACCGCGAACAAAAATTTTAATTAATTAAGTATAATTTTCTAAAATGTAACTTATTTGATGCGCATTATTAATATTAAATTTTATCTCAGCTTATAATGTAAGGTACTTATACTCCTGACCAGATGCTTTCTGTAAGAGCTGCTCCCCCTAAAATTTTATTTTCCTTGAAGCATACTTACATGCTCTTAACGATTACCTCATTCGCTTCATTCATTATTAAAATTTGATATAAGCGTTTCTCGAAATGTAGCAATACAATATTTTTTCATCTTGACGAAAAGGGATCGGCATGAAATTCCCTCAAAATGTATATATTATAAAAACCATGACAATCTAATGTTAAACTGTTCCTCCATTCAGGGTTCAAATTAATCAGACTTAAATCTGTTTTCTGTTTAGATTTATATAAAAATTCTGACTTCCAGAAGGAATTTTAAGAATTTGCAATTTAATTTTTTTATTAACTGCAAAATCGAGTTGATAAACTATGAAAATACATTTATTTAATTATAATAAAAGTTTAGAACTTTTAAATGTCACAATTTCTATAATGAGTTTTATTGAAATAGAGTTTCTCTGTTTTTTAAGAAAATAAGAAGCAAAGTAATTTTCAAACAATATCACTACTGACTGTAAATTTTGATTTTGTTTCATTACAACAGAACGGGTCTGTTTTTTGCGAAACAGTAGTTTGCGATTCACAGCCATGTATGGAGCCCGAAGTCTTAGAAGGCTTGTGTTGTCCAATTTGTCCTCCAGAAATGAAATGCCATTACCTAGGGAAAACTTATATGGCTTGGGAGAACTTCATGGACCCTGAAAATGCCTGTAGTGAATGTGTCTGCCTTGACGGAATGGTCAGCTGTCATCCAGTACTTTGCTCGAACACAGAATGTCCTAATCCTCAGTTTGGAAGCTGTTGCGAAACATGTGATGGTAAGATTATTGCGAAACATATTGCTATATTAATATGTGACTAATACATATTAATATAGCAATATGTTTATTAATATAGCATCCTGCACTGTTATGCGGTACATGCTATGTGAAGAGAAAATCAAAATTTGTGCTGTTAAATGCAATTACTATTTTTATTTTTCATGGTTAATACTTTTAAATGCTTCTAATTACAAAAATAATTTAGCAATGTGTTTATATTATATTTTCTGGATTTTTAATTTTTAATCTGCCATATTTTATGATTTTTCATTTTATTGTAGCATCCTTTATTTCAAACAAACAAGTACAAATGAAATGTATTTATCATTATATTATTAAGAACTGTATATCATAGTATTAATAAACTCATCGGATCGGAGATAATAAATCGGAGAATACTGCTTGAATTTGCTTATTCCGTTCACATATTCACTTCACCACTCGATAATCGCGAGAGGAATAATAATTGTATACAAAGTATCTATAAAATAAACTTACTGATGTGAAATCTTCTTTAAATAAGGAGAATTTCTTGGTAAATATTAAAAAACAAATAATTAAAAGGCTGAAAACAACCGATAAACGGAATTCTGAATCTTTTTCCGAGAAGAAGAAAAATGCTTCCAACAATTTCAGAGAAAAATAAATCTGAGTGCTCAGTTCTCTAAGCTTGAACCCTAAAGAAGGAGGGTGAGTTGGGCTTAAAGCTGCAGTAGATAAAAGCGAGTTCATATTTGACATTGTTCGCATAATTTACAGATTTATTTACGATTATATTATCATAGAAGTTACTGTTCAGTTTGTGAATATGATTTTTTTATGTATTAAGGGATAGGACGAATAATGGGAATGTAACTGGGAATGTCCTCACCAGAGGTGAGGAGCTTTCTAACAGGAACTTGATCTTAATTGCAATTTCCATGGCTTTGCCGATGGTTTGGAAATAAGAACATTTCAGATGAGTGTGGTCTTAAAGCGAACACCCAAATAGTTCGCTTTAGCTATCCTAAGCATCTTCGTATAGAACAAAAAAAAAAAAAAAAAAAAAAAAAACAACCTGTTTAATTTTCCTTTTCTATGGGAAACCTCTGTTGTTCGCGCTTATAAGCCCTTCGTGACGTCATTTTTCAGCTACGTGGCGAATAGGAATGAATGTCAGTTCTCAACAGTCAGAATTAAGGTTAGTGTTAAAGCAACGAATAAAATAAGGTAAGCTTTCAGACTAGAATAATTTTGCTTAGAATTAATTTACACATTTTATTTTTAAAATATATGGAAATTAAATTTTTATACGACTATTTAACAGCGAAATTCCAATTAATAACTTATTTCTTATCCTACTAAGTATCATAAAAAAGGGAGTTTTTAATATGTAAAACTAGCTCTAGAAAATGTCTCGTGTGACTTTCATTGCATTGATTTTAAATGACATATGAATCAAATCATATAGTAACATATAAAAATTAGCATTGCTACAAATGTTTAACTACTTCAAATACTGTGCTTTTTTGAAGTAAAAGATAGTTCCTTAGAAATCTGCATTTAAAGCTTTAAATGCATAGCTATCGACCCAGATATGAACAGCAAAGTATACGTATCCACATACTCTCAAAACCGTCCGAGACATCACAGTTTTCTGGAATCGTATGCATCTAATAAGCCTTGGGGAACACGATTTCACGTATACGCTTTACTTAATTGTTTCAATTCAATTAATCTAACGCTAGAATTTCATTCATACGCCGTTCAACGTTCGTCTATCAACACTGAATACTTACTGGCATCAGTTACCGCTAGACGATATCAACAGTTTTCAAGGATTTCTATGAACTGAAAATACGCCACAGAAATTGTACAAATTGCAAAAACAACTAGAGGGAAGGCTTTCTCAGATATGGAAGAAGTCAAAGAATGAATCGAGAAATGGCGAATGAATAATTGGGTGATCTTGTAACACCAGCAGACAGGGAAACCAGTGTTAGTGAAGAAAATAAAGAGCCTTTAACTTAAAATATGTTAAACGAATTGTTAAAAAACGCACAGTGCTTGTCTGATTTTACCATAAAGGCTGGCTTAAATGGAGAAAGAAGTGTATATTTTATGACAGGCATTTCAAACCTCTGCATGTGTAGCAAGATACGTATACCGACAGACTTAAAATTTGCGTCAATCACCGCCTTAATCAATAATCGCTAGTTTTTTTGTTAAATAGTTTTTATCACGCACTTATTAAGCAATAATAAAATGTCCTTTCAATTCATATTTGTTTCGTTTTCCCCTTTTAAACTACAACAATATTCGGGTTTGTTTAAATTATACATACTATCTTAATCTGAATTATAATCTAACGCAATTTTTCCAAAGAACAGTAACGTTGCAGACCGAAATTTTGCTCGCAATGCATTGATAACGTAATACCCGCATTCGGCAAGGAATTATTTTTGCAACTGAAAGCTATGCATTTAAATTTGTGAAAGCTGATTTTTGAAGAGAAACTTTTATGTGATTAAAAATAATTTTCTCCTTGTAGTTTTTACTAATGAGAACATTATAAATTTTGATTTCCATACGTTTTTGTTGAAAGCTGCCGCATGACTAAAATTGAAGTGATAGAAAATGTCTACTTTATTTGATTCATTTCTTAAACTGGGTCTACAACCAGGTAACTGTTGAAGAGGTAGTCTGCAAGTCTTTTGAAATCCCTTGTGGCCGTTTATGTCAGATACTGTGAAATTATTTTTAATTTTTGCTAGCCAAGTTATTAATTGTTTTTCATCCTTTCCATAGTGATTTTCTTGTTGCTTATTTTAACGCTTAATGATTAACGTTGAAGTTTAACTTTGTTTATTTTAGGTTGTTCATATGGTGAGAAAAATTACATTAATCATGCCTTCTTCCATGATCCATATAATCCTTGCCGAGAATGTCAGTGCGACAGTGGAACCGTAGCATGTCAGCAGAGGTCTTGTGATTCTCCAACATGCAAAGACCCTGCTCTGGCTAACACACAATGTTGCTCAATGTGTCAAGGTGGGTCACATAAACATGTGTAGTATTTTTTATTTACTATATTATAATGAAATGAGGCAGCCAGTTACAGCCAGAGAGTTTAGCACGATTAACAAATGCTTCAACAAGAACCTCTCAGTTAAAATTCTTCTTATCTACCCCAATTACCTACCAGTCTATCTAAATCTTAAAAAAAAAAAAAAAAAAAAAAGACACTGTTACTTACCTCCCAGTCTATTTAGTTCTCTAAAAAAATAAAAAGTAGACTTAATAATACATTAAAGCAGCTCATTTCATTGATTAGGGTATCCGTCTGCAAAGAGAGATCTTAATTCAATTGTTTGTTCATAATTTCTGTCTATGCTCCGTCACTCAAGATCATTGTTGAATGTTTAAGTGTCTTAACCGTTAACACAATTAAATACTGTTATAATATTGGGGTAAAAATAATGAAAATAATTAAATCAACTCTACATATGAGATTGATAAACCTTAAATACTACAACTTTCTTCATAGTTTCATTTACATAATTCTTAAACATGCCTGTTATCCGTTTATCACGCATTTTCGTAAAAGTGAATGTCTTGTATACTGAATGAAATAATGCCGCCTTTTCTAAATTAAGATCCAACATTAATATAATTGGCAATTTTCGTAATTCCAAATTCCTGACTTTCGACAACCGAAAATAAAAAGTTGCATATGGATACGCTTTTGTAACATTTGGATGATATGATAAATTAGGCTTATTTCTAAAGTAAACTTCTGGTTTCACAATTTCGGTATAGCGACAAGAGAAGGAACTTGGAAAAGCGAAACTTTTCAGTATTCAGTTTAAAGTGATGTTCTTACACGCTTAATGAATTGATGCATTTTTTAAAAAATATCTGGCACACAACTTAATTTCGAAATCACCTCATTCAACAGTATTCAGCCTGTTTTGCTTTCCGTAATAAATTATTCACTTGAATTAAAAAGTCGATTAAGTCAATAATATTGCTTTTGGTAAGAACTTTCATTTTGAGATATTTCTCTCGGATCACTTTTAAATTCCAAAACTGAACGTACCCATGAGTTTTGAAAAAGACTTGGGCTTGAACATCCTCCTGCAATGCAATCAACTCTTCTTTCTTCATAATATCAAAATCAAATTTCCACTGTCTTCGATATGAACATTAAAGCCTTTTTTTAAATTTTGCAAAGGGCTTGTATATAACAATATATCCTCTAAGGAAGTTTTGCCTTCTTGGCATTTTTTATTGTGTTTTCTTGTGTTCTTGCCCTTTCCTTTTTCTATATTGAACATATACCATAATAAATAATAATAATAAATATAATAGATAATTGTTTATGTATTTTCTACTTATACTCATTTTATACTTTTTTCTTTACGACGGCTTTATATCAATAAAAAATTAATTATCAGTTTTATAAAGAATTTTATTTCGTAATTAGTGCATCTTCATTATGCTTATCATTTGAGGTTTCATATCTGGCTGTATATCCCTTGATGATATTTAACACCCTTTAAAATTTCTCCAGTGGATCAATATAAATCTTGTTGGGAACCCTGGTCTAGACACATAAGATGAGCTTCGTCTAGATATATCTGATAGTGCAAACTTGTATTAAAATGAAATATCATTCTGTTTATTTAAGAGAGACAATATTCTTCAATGAAAAATGCTTGTCTGAATCGCTGAATTCAAAAGTTTGTTATCGACATCAGTGATATTATTAACTATTTTCCTAGTATATTTAGTGAGCTTGGAGTTCTATAGAATAAATATATTCAGTTCATAAAACCTGTTTGTCTAATATAATTCTGAAGGAATTATGTCTTGCGGAGTTTTAATTTGTTTCCAAGTAATCATTCATATTCTGGCATTAATAAGATAAGTTAATTAATATTTAATAAATGGAAAAATTCAGCATTTTCCCCTTTCTCAAGAGAAATAAATAAAAAGAGACATTTTAAGTATCGTGGCAGATTCCTCTTTGCTCTTGATGAAAAGGGCTTCTTATTATTTTTTGTTGTAAAGGACTCTTTTTAAAAAAAAAAAAAAAAATGTTTTAGCATATCCAGTTAAACGCGCTAATGGTAAAGAAATTCTTTGATATTTAATACCTATCACATCGAAAAGTATTAGTTTTAGTTTATGGTTAAAATTTTATTTTTCATTGTAATGCATAAGGTTTATTTAAAATGCTTCTTTCTGTTGACAGATTGCATGTTTAAAGATGGCTTCTTCAGGCATGGAGAAAATTTTACGGACCCGGATGATCCCTGTGTTAAATGTTCTTGCCAGTTTTCTCAAGTGATTTGTGAGGAACATAGCTGTCCTGAAGAAAGTTGTACAAATTCTCTTAATTCAGCTTGTTGTGAGGGTCCTTACTGTTCAGGTATACTTTATTTATATATGCAAGTGCTTGTATATTATGAATGTCTATAACTAGGCAGGTGTTTTTGTTTATTGCTCATATCTCGTTTAGTGCAGATAGACGTTTTTGAAAGATTAAGTTAAAGCAGGAATCTAAAACCTTTCTTCCCAAGAGCAGCTTTGACGTTCGTGTTGTTTTTGAGCAACTAAGGAAATTATAACTTAATACGTTATCATGTTATATTACATGTCTAAGCAACTGCTAATGCCGTTATTATTTGATAAAAACTATTACACACACACACACACACATATATATATGATGTACCAGCTTTAGTCGTAGCTTAAATTATCAGACGATAAGTTGAAAAAAAGGATCCATTTATTATTATTCAGGAGAAATATCAGTTACAAAATCAAATAACCGGAGTAAATAAAAAGAATTACTAATAACTTTTGTATGAAGTTTACTGCATCGTGACATTTAAAAAAAGCCCCGATATTCTTTTGCGAGTTTTTTTATAGCCTCTGGAAAGGAGGAGCTTCCAAGAAAAGACGTCAGCCTCGTCAGCCAATCCAGTTCGCTTTAAATATTTCCATAACATTCTATAACTGTACGTGTAGAAAAAGGAGGGAAAAACAACTTGACTGCGGGGCTGTGGATTTAATTCCACGTACTTTCAAATAAGAGAACGTCGCCATTAAAAATGAAAAGAACATACAGTTAGAATTTTAAGTGTATTCTTGACTATGGAATTTTATTATTACAAATATATATATCATTTAAAGCACAGAAAATAGACAGTCAAAGGAAAAAAAGCTCCCTTTTTATGAAATTATGGAATAATGAATTCATTTTGTTAAAAGTAAAAATTAAAATAAAAAGCACAGCGCTGAAAATTGTCCAGATTTTTCACTCACCTCAGGAACGATCGTCTACTAGCGTGTCGTTACCAGACAACTATTTGAGAAGCATAAATGGAATTAATAAATACACCTACCTCGCGAACTACCCCATTACGAAGTAGGTTTGCACTTAACGTTGCTTAAGAACGGATTAACTTATAAAAGAAGATATTCCTGTGATAATTATATTCCATAGCTTTACAAATATGCCGTTAACAGTCCTTCACAACTCTTTTAGATACCACCTGTAGAAGGATGTAATAAAGGTTATGCCATCGAGAGAACCCTGAGGGCGAACCCTTATATTGATTATTGTGCGGACCCTTAAGTATGATATTATAAAATACGAAAATCACCTTGATGAATAGTTACTTTGCTATAAAGTAATGAACATGCATTTAAAATTAAAAGTATTATTTTAAAAATGTATTATTTAAAAAAACAATTTATAAAACTAAATTTCATAGAGCAAAACGTTTTCACCAAAATAGTTTTCCTTCTTAATAACTGTTTTCACTTGACTTTTCATTTTTTTTTTTTTTACTTCTCACCTATTTAGCTAGTGAACTATACCTATAAAATGAACAACTGGCTTCTAAGTCGAGAGTCGTAGGCTATTATTTTTTTAACAAAAAGGCCCGAAGCGGATTTTTTAAGAGAACGGGGTCCTCATAATTTTTACCGTTTCTTCCTCGTCTCTTCGGTGTTGAATAACGTTTAGTAAATCTGTTTTGTCTCAAACATTAAAGAAGAAAATAATGCGTGAACACAATGTGAATTCAACAACAGCAAAATATCTAAATTTTTATGTGCATTTTCAAATGTCAGGTTAAATATATATATAGCCTCATGGTTTTTAGTCTTCTGTTATATAATAACATGTAAAAGCTTTATTATTTTTATTCATTCTATCAGTCTATTTAGAAGCCTATCAGTTCATGAATATTTTGATCTGAAAGTCTTGTTAAACTACCTAAATATACATTTTATCGGTTAATTCCAAGTTTTGCAGTAAATGTCCTAGCTTGTATGAATGCTTAGACGTGATATAGCGTTTTATTGCTGATTTGATTACATGATTTTGTGTTGATGATTTAATTTTCTGCTGTGTTATACACTGATTATACAATTTATCAACCGATAAAAGGTCAAAATTTACTTAATTACGAAGTAAACAGTGAAAACTTACAAATAATCGCAGCCTGTGGTTTACATTAGCAATTTCGCATTTGAGGATTTACACCAACAATTCGAAAGGGAATTATACCAGTAACGAAGCAATAACACATATAACCATAATGTAACTATAGAAATACATTATAAATTTTTAACTGATATTTTTATTTAAAAATCAATCAAACTCTGGAAACATATTCAGTTTCGTCACTTTGAAGCAAGATGACGATTTAATTTGACATGCTGTTGTACATTGTACGTTACATACACTGAATTTCTTCACTAAGTAATGCATGTTTTTGAAAAAAAGATCATTCGTCATCAAAATTGTTAATCTGAATCTCTAGACAACGGAGAATGACTTTATATAACTTCGAAAAACAACTTTTATTCATATTCCAGAATTCCGGCGAAACGTAAGACAATTCAAACTTCAATTATCTAATTTAGATTTTGGTAAAGGATTGTCACGTAAACGTGCTTTTTGAGTTATACCAATAAGGCAGGTGATAAGGAAAGATAAAAACTTTTCATTATCCTCCACTTATAGCGCGACTGGGGAGAAGACGCAGTCGGCAAATACTGTGACAACGAATTGTCTTCCGTTAACATTTAGTTCGGGTGCCGCTTGTAAAGTCATTAGGATTATTTTCGAAACAGGAAAGAAGCAAAATTAGCACTGTCTTCGGTAAGATTCAATTTTTACCATGCTAGCAAAATGTGCTTTCTAATCACATCAAGAAGACATGCAATAAGGAGAAAGGAAACTTAACCTTTACTGCAGTTTCTTTTTGTAGCTGAACATGGTACTTCAGTACTTTATTGATATTTATGACGTTAATTTTCAGATTGTCAGTTTTTTGAGGACATGTACACAGATGGAGAAGTTTTCACTCATCCCCACGATCCTTGTGCAGTATGCATCTGTCAGGTATAGATTACCACCTTTTTAAACATTATTTGGAGTTTAGTATGAATGTTTATGTAATTTGAGCAATGCAATAATTATATAGTAAAAATTTTAAATAAAGCTTCGTTTAGAATGAAAAGTATTTTAAAAACACGAAATTAATTTTTAATTGACTGGTATCACATCGAAGAAATTAATTAAAGAATTAATCAAAAAAATGTTTTGAAAGAATAGTAGAAGAACGGGAAAATAATTTATTTAGATTATGGCCTTATTTCTTATTTTGGCTTATATACATGAAAAGAGGGACGGAATATGTTCTGAAATATGCAAAATAATACTATAAGCACTTTTTTCTTTAAGTTTCCCATCATAAAATTGTGTAGATGTATTTATTAGATTTTTCAAACGCGTTCTTAAATATTGGCTGCTCTGACACTTTTTAATAAAGCACGTTCTCTTTTCTTCATTGTCAAGATATTTGTAAACAAGCTTGTAAAGACATTAGGATTTTTTGGAAGCGGGCAAGATGAAAAATGAGCAACGCCTTCCCCGGGAATCGAACCGCGGACCTTTGGAATACGCGCCCAGCGTGCAGACCACCACACCACGAAGGCATGCTAGGAAGGCGGCAGAAAGACCTTATAAGCTCAAATTATGAAAATATATCAATAGGTATTTCACAATCATTGCTTATTCTGAGTTTTGTTGAGAAAAAATTAATGCAATTGGTGTAAATTTTGAAAGTAAATAATGAAATAAATTTTGCCTTAAACGTTTGAATTTACTGTTATGAATTCCAGCAAATAGATAGACCTAGAATGTAAGACAATGGATACAACCATATGCATGTCCATAGATTAAACATAAATCTCTTGCAGTTTGTCCATTTCCCCTCTCTGTTCTAGAAATAGTAACTGCTTGTAATAAATCTCTCTAAACTGCGTCACTTCCAAGTAATCCATGTCATGTGATCTTACATAACGCTGCTATTTTAAGTATTTACATAAAAGCTTTAGTCAATTCAAGCGAATAGAAATAATTTTGAGAATCATAACGTTTTGACTTCTCTTCCAGACTTTCTTTTGAAAACGAACACACATTCTTGCTTTGTTTCTATGAAACTAGCATGTCACCTCTTACCTACCTTAATGTTATAATTGTAATGTAAACTTTTTTACACTTACTTTTGTATCTTTGTACAAAATGTGATGAAGATTGGGTGTAGATTGCACCCCTTGTAATGGGTCATTCATAATGAGAATGCGCTTGAGAAATTATTTGTCCAGAAATAACTTGATTCGTTACAACAGCTAGTTCTTTGCAACTACTTAGTTATGTTTCTCAATGCCGTCACCATCTGCAACCTCGGCCATAGTTGAAATTATCTGTGTCCTCTCTCTCTACCTAAATATTATTATTTAAGAGTCGAAAGTACAGCGTTTAAGGTAGTTAATTAGATAGAAGTTTTCCATCAACTTCCGTTTTAGCATGAATTAATAATATGTCATTTTCGGGTGTAGAGTTCCTCACTTTGTAATTACTAAGTTACTGTTGGAAGTGAAGAATCTTAAGAACTGATAAGCGAATAATAGCTTGAGTTCGTGTGAAGGAAACAACAAGATAGAAGGGTAAACTAGCCCTTTATTGTTCCAACTAAAGTTTAACAAACCTCCGCTATGGAGTGTACAAATAAAGCCGACACTTCGGTTTGAACTTAAGTGACTAAGAATAATACTAAACTAATCTTAACTAAAGAGATATAGCCGAAGCTATCAAAATTCTAACAAAGTTGGCCCCTTAGCGTTAACAGACAGCGAAGCTATCAAGGATATAATGTACGGCCGAGCCTAATAATAGCTTACGATAGAGTAGCCTAAAAATGCGGACGCGTGCAGCCAGAATACCTGGCATCTTTCTCCCTAAGACCGAAGAACTTCGCGGTTAAATACCGCTCTTCCTCATTATGTATTCAGACGTGATTCTAAAACTACATTCTGGCCGGAAGTGTAAGTTGAAGTTAAGAATCGATAGGAAAATAACTTTAACTCAAAATTTAACTGTTAATAAAAATTAACATAATCCTTACACGGGTTCGGTAGAAATGCGCTTAACTGATTGTTTCTGCTTGTTGCTTGATTTATTCATCTACTTTCGATTTCTGGATTTAAATTACGGATTGTGTATATATATTTGATATTGTGGTTATTTTGTTAATAATATATGTTGAAATTATTTTTATTATTGTTATGATATAAGAAGTTTTTTTATTCATTACTGTAGTTAACAAGTTTTATCTCACTGAGTCCTTCCAATCCTAGTATTTTTGACATAACAGAAAATTCAGTCTCCGATGGGCAGGCGTCAATGCATATACGTACTTGTCATCAAGAGAACAAACTATCAGCATGCAATTTCCAGGCTACAGTAAAATGTGATTCCAGTCGTCCAGTAGTGCGTAGCAGATGTTTGCAATTTCGCTTGGGATACCTCCTCACCTGTAAGAAAAAAGATGCAAAGTCCGTTTAAGTTGTCCGGAAAACTGCACAGTTAGTGTGGAGAGACTATACGTGTATGACCAATGGTGAACTTTTGGTATACTCTACACTTCTACTTGTAACTGTTCCTGTTGTGTGCCGGACTTTCTACTGGATATATCATGTTGCAGCATCAGTTCGATGCTAATAAAGCCGATGTACACTGTGCAAAACTTTGGCTTGTCCTTGTATTTATACCCTTGTATCTTCTTCAATGGCCAGACAGCCCAGGATGGGCCCTTGCCTTCCTCAGAATCGAATTCCAAGCTCTTCTGTCCCTGGCCATGGACATCCAATTGGTTATTTTTAAAATTCTTAAGTCTGTTTCCAAACAGTCGAGCCATCTAATTCTAGGTCTTCATCTTTTTCGGGTGCCGAATGGTCTGGCCGAGAAAATCTTTTTAGTTATTCGATTTTCATCCATTCTGCACAGGTGTCCTGCCCATTTAATTCTCTGAATTTTTATGTATTTTACTATATCTATTTCTTTAAAAGATTTATAGAGTTCAGAGTTAGTTCTTCTTCTCCAGATATTGTTACATTTTATGCCACCAAAAATGATACTTTTAGCTTTTTCTGTCATTGCCCAGGTCTCAGCAGTGTATGTAAGAATGGGTCTGATTAAGCTTTTGTAAATTAAAATCTTCGTTATACCCTTACTAGACTCCCACAATATATCATGTATTGTTTGTATATGCTCATGCCCAATACTTCGATTTCATGATTGGTCTTCCGGTTGGTTCTGCCTAATCGTTCTGCTGTTACCTAAATTTCGCCACCTCGTTCTTAATTTTTGCCCACCAGTGTAATAAGTAACAGAACAAGAAGATGCAGGCATTGAGCGACATTACTGACAAATTAGTTTAAATAAGGAAGCAAGAAGCATTTAACTGCAGTATCTATTTTCTTAATATTGTCCAAAAATATATTATAAATATATCGGATATATAAATAATAAAATATTATATATACATATATATCTTAAAATATAAAAAATATCTAAAAATATTTTTTAATATATTGTAAAAGGATTTTATTCTGTTTAATTAGGGTGGTCATGTTACCTGTTTCGAACAATGTCCTGATATCTTCTGCACTCATCCTGTAAAAACGTCTTGTTGTTATTCTTGCAATGATGGATGTTCCCTCGGAAATTTAGTTTACGTCGATTATCAAGTATTCCTGGATACCGACAACGACTGCCAGGAATGTGTTTGCTTGAAAGGGAACATAACTTGCAAGCGGATAAGTTGTCCAACTCCATCTTGCAAGCACCCTTCACCAGATGGTTGTTGCTCTGTTTGTGATGGTCAGTTTAAGTACATTCTTCTCATTATTTAACAAATTTAGTTCTGTGAATGCTCCTATATATCACTCCAGTTTAACAACTAGTGTAAAAACATTGCATTAAAATGTATCCCTTCGTTTCATTTTATTAAGATATGCAACAAATTTTCGTCAATATCTACGGAAATTTCGTCCGTTCAAACTGCTTATCCAATAATTTTAGTTACAGAATCATTAAAGGCAGGCATTGAAACTTCACCTTTACCATTTAAATTATCATATCAATAAAATTTTTTGAACTAATCTCTTCACTACAGTTGAAAGTAAAATACATGTCTGTTATTATTAGATTCAAAAAGTGCTTTTAGAGTATAATTAGTTCATAAAGAAGCTCAGGTTGCAATTTCACGTAATGAGAATTTAAAACATTTTTGTATGACTTTCTAATAAAAATATCTACAATTCAAAATAAATTGCTGTATGATGTTTGTGTGTATGAACTAAGGCGATAATTGGTAATGAAGCGAGTCTCATGGGAAAGCATAGTCAACTGAGGAGAAAGTTATCAATGTTTTGATATTCTATATTTTTAAATATGTTTGTTGGCTATTTATTCCTTCATATTATGCAATCTGTTAATACACTGGTGAAATAAATTAAGAGAATTTGCATATTTTATCGAATTGCATGAAAAGAACTGAACCGAAGGAAAAACCACTGCTTCTAGATAAATGAAAAACCACTGCTTCTAGATAAATGAAACTCTTGTACGGCAAATACGTAAGCGTACACGTGTGTGTAGGCAGAGCCAGCAGAAAAACAGGCATAGGCTTTATAAGCGAGTGGAGGGTAAGACGAATTGCGTTCTATAGCACACCTCGGCGAATTTCTTGGTGTTATCTTGCAGCAATCGGTTAAATTCACATCGGAGCAGTAAAAATGAGTAACCACCAACGTTTAGATGATGGAATGAAGTGGCGAATTGGGGGGAGGTTAAAGGCAGGCCAATCGCAAGTCCAAATATGCAGAGAGTTTAATTTAACGCCCAGTGTCGTGTGTAACCTATGGAAACAGTTCCAGGATACTGGATCCATCGAGAGAAAGCCTGGGCTAGGCCGTTCGCCCAAGAGCCACGACGGCCAGAGAAGATCGCTATTTGTCCATTTTAGCGAGGCGTAACAGAGAAGCTACAGCTTCTCTGCTCTCTCGGGACCTGTATGCAACCACAGGAACCCATGTAACAAGGGTGATTGTTTCCAAAAGACTGAATGAGAGAAAATTGTTTGCCAGAAGACCGGCTGTTTGCGTCCGGCTCACGTCTACGGACAGGAGAGTCCGATTAGCATGTGCAGGCAGCTTAGTGATTGGAGTACGGAGCAATGGGCGACCGTTCCGTTCACCGACGAGTCCCGTTTCAGCCTAAATACCAATTCTCGCCGTACTTTCATATGGAAAGAGGCAGGGACCCGTTACCCCCCTAATGTCCACAAATGCTGGCGGTGTAGGTAAAAACATTAGTTAAATGCCTGTTTGTATTCAGACAGTTAGCATTTCTACTTATTTATGATTTTAAATCAAATTCACCTGAGAATTGGTAAATATTCTTATTTTCAAATCAAGTATCAGTTTCACCGCTCAAATGATGAAAACACAAAATTGTTTATGTTTTCAAGTTAAGCTTTGAAAACATAAATATTTAAAACATAGTTTATAACTATTTATATTTTTAACTTTATTTTTTATATTTTCGCTTTAAAATAACAAAAGTTTCTTTTAGTTGAGGCAGTAGTTCAAAAAATATACGTTTGAAAAACGCTTTTTGACCAAACTTTCCTTGCTTTGAGATCGCAAACCTTAATCAACAAATCAGATATGCTATGAAGCCGAAGGTATCGCAGAAAAGTTTTGGAAAACATAGGTTTGACTTAATAGTTAATAATTGCTTGATAAACGTTCCATGCGTGTATCTGTGACAACGCATCCAGGCATGCTAACCGTAATTTGTACTAAGTCTTCATAATGATGATTCACTAGTACATCTAAAATGCTTAATGTCCCAGCTATCTGAAACTGCTCCCAGAAATCGAAAAAAAGACTGTTGTTTCGTTGAATTTAGTATCGTTCAATTTAGTTCATAACTCAGGTCTGCTATGGAATAAAGATCCAAGACTATGAGAAGACCAGTCTAACAACTTCACCTCATTGTTAAAAAATCAGTCCTGCATATTCTGTGCAGTAATGCAGAGCGCTTGATTAGATTCCAAGATCGATTCCGTAATCTTAATGTTTAGTGACAGAATGATGAATGGGTCGAGTTCTATCTACGAAACGAAGCCCTGTATCATTAAGGATATTAAAGATCATCAATTTTAACAAACAGTATAATACAATGTGGTTTAAAAAGATACTACTTGTAACATTACCTGATAAATTACCAATATGAGGATAGAATATGTTTCCTTTACACTTACACTTCCATTTACTTCGAACCTTTGCGCGCATTCAGTTTTTGAACATTTACAAATCTTAGGTAGCTTCCGAATATATTTGATAATACTACATCATTAGTAGTCGAGATAGATTATAATATTACAATATTTACTACAATCGAGCTCTAGAAATCTACTTAATATTGTATTGCCAATGAACTGAATGAAAAGATACTTTTGAAATGTTAAATTGATACTAGTACATTAGTTAAATGCCTTTGAGTTAGTTAAATGCCTCACCTTTGAGTTACTGGAATGAAACAGGTTCCAAAAAACCTTCAGGAAGCTTTTTCTCAGTATTGGTTTCTTGATTGATTTTGACGATGCGATTAAAGTACATTTTATAGTAATCTATAGTAGGCATAGCAGGTTTTTCACTGATGATTAGGTTCCATTATTGAATACGCTATTCATAACGCTACTATTAAATCGTGACTCAACATGCTCACTGTTAAACATTTCCACTATTTTAATAGTTCTTTTAACTGTGCTGTTTTTACTTGAACAGTACAGTTCTGCATAATGTTTTAAAATTTCTTATGAATTACCCTTTTTCTTGATTTCGTTCTATAACTTCTGTGCGTATTTTAGGAAGGAAGTGTTCACTGTTCCAAGAAGCCATGCGGACCATTGAATTGTTCTAATCCAATATACGATTCCGAAGCATGCTGTCCTCACTGTCCTAACTATTGCATATCCAATAGTAAAAAGTATGACCTTAATTCTGTTATTCCGCATTCATCGGATGTCTGTCAAGAATGCAAGTGTGTGGTATGTTTTCTTCCTTCTAGGAGACATTATTTTATAACTAATAGAGGGTTTTAAATAATTTATTAATTGCATATTCTATGATTTGAATTTTCCATAATAGATTATATAAGTCAGTCTTCCATTCTATTAAAACATTTAAAGTAAAGTGTATTTTTATAATAAAAGTAAAAATACTGGGTTACATCAGCATCACCGGATAAACTCAAGACCTCGCAAGTTCTCGATTTCACTGCAATAGGTATAATTTCGTCCTTGCTATCTTGAAAGATGCGCAGAAATTTATGCCAGTTTTACTCTTTATACTGTATTGTGTTAAATAAAATATACATGATTAGCTTTCTTAATTCATTTTTGCATAAATTCGAGGTGGAACGAATGTTTAAGACAGAGGAAGAAGGGGAAAAAATAATCACCGAAAATTTCGCTGCAATCCATGTAGAATTATTAAAAACGTTTTATGATCAAGTTTTGAAAGATAAATACTATCTTCATTTCGTGCACCGGATTTCATTGAGTAAAAATGAATGCCATGATATTCCAAAGAGACCACAATTTAAACTTTGTCCAGAAATAGCATAAGAAAGTATTGTAACACAATGAAACAAAAAAGGAAATATACAATTAATACATTCTGAAAGAAAGAAACTCCGTAGTTTTCGAAATGTCCTCAGAATGAAAATGAAGGGCAAAGCCATATCAGGGAAGTTTTCTACGCATTCAGTTTAGGTATGTAAACTTGGTATGTTTCATTGAACTTCATTAGAATTTGCACATAATACAAATTGATTTTCCTTTATTGTTAATGAAAAGAAAATCATGCTAATCTATTACCTGCTCCTTTAACTGATATTAGTTTTAATAATAATAACTATAATAATTTTAATTAACAGTAGAGAAAATCGTTTAAGAAGTAAAACAGAAATGAGTCGCATAATCTGGATTATCTGCTTTAGAAAATCTACTTTATTTAATTTTAAAAGAAAGAAAATATAATGAAGATATAAAGCAGAACTTCAAACAATCGAAAAGCAATCAAATGTAATGAGTATTAAGTAAAAGTTTTGCTGCATGCATGTTTCCATTATCATTTCGTTACAGAAACAGATATTAATTTGTTTTCGAAAAATTGTTAGGTTCCTTTTCAAAATATCTTCATACTATTTAAGTAACGAATTTTTGGCTCAATTATTTTTAAAAATCTAATTTGCTTCATCAGTGTTCTCTTCAACAGATAAATTATAGCTTGAAAATATTTGCTTGTTAAAACTAGTTACACTTAATTAGCTGAGCTCTAATCTACTACTAAACGTATTACTTCATTTCAAACTTTCCTTTATGAATATTAATAATTCTCGTTATGTTAAGTGAATTGCAAGAAGAATATCGGATTTGAACACATAAAATGTTTTTTATCATACTTTTTCATACTGTAACGATCTGTTGTTGATATCTCCAAAAATGAGTACCCCGAATAGACAGGAATGAATTCACAATTTATTATAAAAATAAGCAAAATAAATATTAGGCACAAGAAACAGCCAAAAATAGCTTAAAAATAACATGAATATTAAAAAGTTCTTCTTTAGTTCCCCAAATCACTCAGGGTAAACCTTAAACCTCAATTCAGCTAACCGCTAAGTTTTAGAGTTGGTTAGAAATTAAACTTCCTAGCTTGAATTTAAAAAAAAAAAAAAAAAAAAATTATTTCAAGCTTATATTCATAGCCGTACATTTTAATAATTTCTCAGTACAGATGAAAACTGGTTATTTTTTTAACTTGTTATATTTAGAACAAACAATTTCTCTTTTTGCCTTCTTAAGGCTGATAAAAGATTTCAGTTACACTTTATTTTGTGTGAAATAACTATATTATAATGCTAAGTTTTCTTTCGTCTTGTAATTCTTATATTTTGCTTCCTCGAAGAACTTTTAAACTGCAAGTTGATTTGTTCTTTTACAGCAGGGTGGAGATGTGTACTGCGAGTTAAAGGAATGCCCTGAAGTATTGTGTCAACACCCAGCTTATGGAAAGTGTTGTCTGGAATGCATGAACTGCAATTTTGCGTCGAATATTTATTCCAATGGGACAAACTTCACAAATCCACGTAACATTTGTGAAATATGCATTTGTTTGGTAATAATTTATCTTAAATTAAAGATAAAATACAACTTCGTGCCAAAAATAATAAAGTAATTAAATCAGTAAACTTTAAAGACATTTTACATAACATATGTAATAAATACTAAGTAATCACAAGCTTATGTGAATATTTCTAATTTTCTGAAAGAAAAAAGGTCAAAATTCTGTGCGTTATTTATGTATAGTAACTTCATGAATACATTAAATATTGCTGGCAATAGAGGAATTTAATTTACTGTGTGTGAATTACTTGCCAAAAAATATTATATTTATTACATTCAGGAAGTGATCTTTTGTTAATTAATAAACTATTGGATCAGCTTCACCTTTTGTACTTAACACTAATTTTTTAAATTCATTTTTCATAAAACTATTCTTTTATATCACTATTATGTAGTAGTGATATGAGTACACATGCACTCGGTCACTTATTAACAATGCATATGTTTGCTAACTTTGATTTACCATTCAGAAAAAATTGATATTTGAAACTTTATATTATGTTCTGATACGTATTGTTCATTTGGAAGAACTTCGCTATTTTTTAACATTTTACACTTTTATTCTTCTCATTTTAAATTTTATATTTACTAAATGTGTAATGGAAAATATGATACCGACCATATATTATCTCGTAGGAAGGAGAAGTTCTGTGTTCCAAAAAGCTGTGTGAACCTATAAACTGCAATAATCCAATAGAAGATCCTCAGTCTTGTTGCCCTTATTGCCCTAAACACTGCATGTACATTGGCGAAAAATATGACAGTGGTGAAACTTTTTCACCCTCATCGGATCCCTGTCAAGAATGCATATGCTTGGTAATTTACATTTATTTCTAATTTTATGATATTATATGATACTACTCATTTGATTCTGATAATAATCAGTTTTACGTCTGGTATCTAATGGAAATGCCGCATGTTTCGATGCATTAGTTTATATTTCTACTTGTGTGTACCAAATCTGCTTGCGAATGTGTAAGCAAGTAGAATGAGTCTTTAAAGTATGCTTCTTTATTAATCCCTTATACGCATAAAAAATAAACAATAGTTTGTACTCTTATGATGTTGGGAGGCCCCAACTTGTCAGCAACAGTAGTAGTGACTGCTATGAACTGGAAATTACACAGACTCTTAAGAAGCGTTTAACTCCCTTTTTATTTCACTTTAGAAATCACAGTTGCGTTCACTTGACGCTCACAAACTACGCCGATCCGTCGGTTGAACAAAATAGACAAAAATGCAACTAAAAATAAATGACAGGATGAATAAATAACGAAGTCACTACCTATGAGGCTCTATAATCGTAACTAACTTAACCGCGTTCTAAGATACAGCTGAGATTCAGCAAACTTTCTGATTAAGAATTTGAAGGATTCAACGAACTGTTCTTAAACTTTCTACCAAGCAACCTTCACGCTCGTGATTCAAGAAGCACACTTACAATCTCGTTTCCCTTCTATTTAACTCAATTTACTTCTGCTAAAATTTGAATACTCTGCGCGTTCTACGATTTACATACTCTGGCATTGGCAATTCTAGGGAAAAGTAAAGGCTTGACAGGAAAGATAGCTTAAAATAAATGTTAGTTAAAATAATAAATATAAACCCTACACTCTTTTTAACTTTCCAATGAAGAGCAGAGTCACATAATAGAGTCTACTTACAGAAGAACTATTATGTGCTTCTAATTCGAAATATTAACAGCGCCTCTAGCGGAGACAGTAATGATAAAATGACAGTTCTGAGTCAGAGGGTTAGAAGTGTAGCCAGTGACATCACAGACTGGGATGCATGAACCTTATAAGAAATGGTATAAGGTCCATGTAACATCACAACAGAAGATCGCTAGGTGATGTCACTAGTGGAGGTGATTTGTTTTAGGTTTGCTGGTTGAATTATACGTTTCCTGCTACTTTAGTGAATTTAATATTTTTGAAAACTGGCAACGGTTAAATAGAATTTTTATTTGAGGAAATGCTCATGGGTCTTCTCTACTGTCCAAAAAAGAAATTTATATGTTTTGGATATTTTTTTAAGTCATTTAAATTATTCTCTGAAAGCAGTGTACATTACGAGAGAAAAAAATCTGATGTGTACACCACATGACTTCCTTCTATTGGAATATTAAATTGGAATATTAAATTATACGCATTTTTCTTGCATTTCATTTAAACTTATTGGATTGAATTAAATCTACTTCGCCGACAGCGCATAAACTACAGTAGAATAAATGCATTCTTTAAAATTCACTCTAGTAGTTGTTTACCATAGCGACACTCTGGCGCTAGATTCACTTAACAGTATTAATAATTATATGACAGTTAACTTATATAATAATTATATAACGGAAACTAAGTTAACTGTTATATAATCCAATAATTATATAACAGTTAACTTATATATTTCGTTCATATTATAACTCATAATGCACAAAATTTATATCATTTAAAGAATAGAATTATCTAATCGTTGCCACATGTTCTATTCAAATACTATAACAAAGCTAGAACGATGCATAAAAGAAATTAAGCAAACAAAACAAAAACAAAAACAAAAACAAAAAAAAAAAAAAAAAAAAAAACAGTTTTTCACAGACGATTGAGTATTTCTCATTTAATTAATTCAGTTCTCACTTCGCGAGAAGGCAAAAATACATAAAAACTCAAAATATCTATATTAAAAATTACAAAGTAAATTTCAAACACTTATTTTTCCTCGATAAATTTCCAGAAAGAATTAAGCATAATTTAATTGGCAATAATAAATGAATGCGTTATCTTTGTTGTTGCGAAGCTAAGTTTCTCTAGATTGGCAACAAATCCACTAGTCTCCTGTTTCAAATGTAAACATCAATGGCCGCCATTAAAAAAGGCTTGGCGGCAATTAAACAACTTTAAAATTGCTGATAATTCTAAAAATATTGCATAGAGATTTACTAAAGGCATAAAAACCTTAACCGAAAGATAAGAACAACATAATTCGATCATTTTTAAAGCAAAAAATGTACAATTTACAAACATATAAGAGTAAAGAAACTGAGAGCACTGAGCCGGGTAACAGAGTGGATATATATATAAATATATTTATGTACGTTTGGTGCGGCCGATTGCAACCAAAATACGAGGTGCACATCTACATGTTATAGCAGTCCTATATACAAAATTTCAACGTTCTGAGGCTACTCGTTTTTGAGTTATGCGAGATACGTTTGTGCAGACGCCAAGAAAATTTCTCTTCAGAATTAATTTTAAAGCAGTTTTATAATTTTTTTGAAGGAAAAGAGTATTTTATTCTGTCCTTACGTACAGATATCACCCAAAAACATCGTTAAATTGCATTCGATAGCGGTCAAAATGGATATTTTCGTTGAAATATGCTGCCTGAAACTTTTTGCGATTGCAATACTTCCTTTTTACTTCGTACAAGGAAGTAAAAAGTAAAAGCAACTCTCCTCTAAAGACAATTGTTCCTCTTTTAAAAAATAAAATGATATGAAAAAAATTTTTTTTTATTCTTCCCGCCTCAATCCGACGTTATAAATCCCTTCCTTCTTCCCCATTAAACATCTTTTACTTTTTATAACAATATGCAAAGAAATGAAGTCCATCATTCAGAATATATCTGTTGTCATCAAAAGCAGAAGGTGCTGTTTTATTTACACCTATGGTAAAAAGATGATGATTTTTACTTGTTGAATGTTATATTGCAGTTCTCTGTAAATGTCGATTCCTCTAGATACTCTCTATAATTTTTGTATTTAAGTATTCTCTATAATTTTTATTTTTATAAATATGTAAGTTTTATTTTAATGATACTGCGATTTACTTCTTTAGCTGTTTTCTTCTGTATTTTCTTCAGCAGTAAAGAATACATTTTCGGTCTCAAACCTATAAATTTCATTATCGGTTCTGAATTCATTTCATCTTTGAAACATTCAATTTTCCCTTTATAGTTAAGATCGTATAAAGGATGGCTCTTCGGATAATCTGATGTATCATACATATGCATATGGAAACTCATATCGAGATATGAGTTTCGGTGTATACCTTCAGTTAAAATCTCGTACGAGAGAGAACCTGTATCGGTAAAAAGTAAGGTTTCCGTCTCTCCATATTGACTTTTGACATTATTATAATGAGAATTGTACATGTGACATTTACCAGGTTCTATAATAAATCCTACATAATTAGGTCTATTTAGATGAATGGGGAATTTTTAGGTCTCTGTATCCCTTTTTTGTTTGTATTTTCAGCTTTTGTATGTATTTCTTTTTATATATTGTATATTTGTATGCATTTTCTGCCTTCGTACGTACCTTTTTTTGTGTGTATTTTTCAGATTTGTGAGTGAGTTTCTCAGCTGTGTGTTTTGATAACCAAGTTGTTATAAGAAATTATGAAATTATGAAAGGTTGGAGCTATTACTATTTTTTTTCTTTCCTCTCAGTATTTACTAACTAGACATCAACATGCTTCTTCAGGTTTTCCATAGTTCTGCCGTGCACACTGTCGGTCATTAATTTAAAAAATCCTTTTCATATTCTGACAGTACATTTGTACATTAATTGAAGACAGGATAGTAGATTGAAAGGATATTACATATTATGTTTACGTAGATTGAATATACGTAGACTGTTGTTGTTTTTACGTTGTATTTCTTTCCGGGAAACTAATCAGTTGCAATTAGCACCTGCAGCACCTCCTGCAGCACGATGTAAGGCAGCAACACCACCAAAACTTGCAACATCAGCTGGATCCTGATACTTTAAGTTCATTTTAATAATACAATTAAATGTTCTTCATATCTATATCACAGTGAAAATAATATATTCCCACTGTCGTTAAGGCATAGAGTAAAATCAATAGAAATTTATGAAATTCTTTAGAAATATAGACCTAGGATAAAATAACACATAAAACAGTATATAAATACACCGCAACAGTGACATCTACTGATAGACTACTGCAGGCATAATTGCAATTGATTAGGGGATTCTTATGTCTTTTTCCTATATAGCCTTTTAACCTAAATTTGAATTCATCACATCAGCTTAGTGGTTAAAACATTCAAACTACTAAGCTGATCCGATATTTTGTTTGAGGGTTTGATCCTGCACTTTGAATGATGGAATTTGCTTTTTAAAAAATTTTCCAAAATATATAATTTTCTTTTTTCGTCAATAAAGACGCCGTGAGTATTTCCTGGAAACAAAAATCTTCTTGATTTGTTGCCAATTTTAAAAAACAGAAATTCACCGAAGCAGTATGAGACGTACAACTCAACCAGCAACCTGAAGCAACTCAACTTCACTCGTGACGTTATTGTTTACGCCCTTTGTTGTGATGTCCTTGATGATGCTGCCCCTAGCCAGGTCTTTTGTTATGAGGTGATTGGCCACGCTTTCAACCCAATGGTGCAGAACTGTCATTTTACCACTACTTGCGACTTATAGAGATCATAATTCTTGTTTCAAAAACGAAGCGAATAGATGCAATTTTTCATTTAAATGAACCAAGAACGTTATACATTTATAAAAAAAACACGCATTTTGCATGCAAAATTGATATAAACAAAAGTCAATAAATATGAAATTATCTGATTTAGTATTGCAAATTATTTCCGAAGGTGATACTGAGATATATATTACTTTGAAACGTATATGGTTTCCCAAAGTGTTTCCCTGTGCATTGTGGGTACGCATAATTTACGATATCCCTAAAAATCATTTCACACTTCTCACTCTTTTTGTCGTTTCTCATTTGATCAAATGAAAAAAGTCAGAATTCTGTGCATTATTAATGTACGCTGTGTAAATTATTTGCCAAAAAAAATATTACATTCAGGAAGTGATCTTTTTTCTTATTGCAGTTAGGAAAAGGAAACTTATTAGAAAGAAAAAAGCAAAATTGTAATGCGATAGTGTTTTGAGAATACATTTTCTATCCTTTCAACGCGCGGTGAAGGAGACATAATTTACTTCTGTCAGTAACTTTCATGGAACATTTACTGTTACTGTAAACAAAAGAATTTTAAATAAAATTAAAATTAGCTTATTAAATAAATTATAGCATTTACTACTATTTGTCCAAAAATTAAGTGTTATATAAGACATATGCATAATTGTAACTTCTCTCACCCTCATTCATTAACCAAGCAAATCGCACATTTACCCGTTTTAAAAGGCGAAATGCTCTGAAACTTAGTGATTAAAAATTTTCCATTATTTTGGTTTTTCTTCCTTCTCCCATCCCCCACGTTTGAAATTATAACTTCGTTAGAATCGCTAGAATTGCTGCAGATATTTTGAATTGTTAGCGAATAATAGGTCCTCCTTTCGCAGCTCAAAACATTTTAGTTGGAACTTAAATGGATGCATCAGAACTTAAATGTAATGTATTAATATGGCTTAGTAACTTCCAATTAAATTTACTTTTAATTAAATAAAAATTTATGTTTCATTTCACTGCGATTGTTTTATGAGTTACTTTTAAGTGGTTCTATTTTATAGGAAGGAGAAATATTGTGTGACGTGAAAGAATGTCCTGACATTATCTGTTCGCACCCGACTTTAGGAAACTGTTGCTTAGAATGCTCGAATTGCAAATTTCAGGACTATGTTTATTTTGATGAAGAAAGTTTTATAAATCCGACAAATCCTTGCGAAAACTGTATCTGCTCGGTACGTATATGTTCTTTCAATTAAAATTCTTTTAATAAAAAAATTTTCACACGCACATCGTGACTTGACATAAATATTCTTCGTTCTCGTAATAAAAATATGCCTTGATGTTATTTGAAAACGAATTTAATAATTTGTACATTTTAACATCCTATCTTGAATCTTATGCATGAATTCGAAAGATATCAGGTAAGGTTGTGATAAATTGCATTGAACTTGAATTATTTTTGCCAAGCACGTGATGCGGAGTGTTGATTCGAATATAAAGACTATAATTTCAACACTTAAACTGCAGCTTTCTAATTAAATTCCTGTAGGATCTAGCTTCAATAACATCAAATTTAAAGAAAATTGAATTCTGAAATTCCTGATTGCTTGTTGTTGTTGTCTTGTCCATATTACATGGAGCACTGGTTGCCAGAGCCTACTCCGAAGAGGTTAGACTTCCATTTTGCACCCCCAATTTTGAGGAAGAGCACCCCAGGAGGATGAGGGGGGGTCTCACACCCCTCTTCCCTTCCACCAATTCACACGAGAGGACTTTCGGCTCACCGCATATTTAGAGTGCCGCCATGTCGCACCGACACTATACATTTACAAACATCCATGTGTTCTCCGGGATTCGAACCCGGGCCCTTCGGTGACGTAGTATATTCCTCTAACTACTATACCGTCTAGGCGAATTATTTATGAACAAAAAAAAGTATAATAAAAGACAAATGCATGCATTGCTGCGAATTTAATTGTTGATTCTAAATTTTTAGCTTCCATAAGACCGACTTTTTAAGTTATAGATTTTTATATTAAGTAGCAATCTACATGGGCTACTAAGTAAAATTATGTTTGTGTTTAATATGTTATTTTTGCAAGGCTAGCTGCGATTAAGGAATACCTTGTTGAGTTTTTAAGTAATTAGTTGGTCGTTAAGTACTTTGAAAAACGCCCAATACAGAGCTAAGGAGAAACGAACGCTAAATGTGTTAAATTAATGTGTTTCTAAATGGGATCAGTGCATTTCTTTAGGTAGTTAAAATTCACGTAAAGCCAAGTGCCTTATCTTTACACAACCTACCGTTATTTTTCTTTTTCATGCGCGCCTATTGTATGCGTTTCAGTGCACTATATTCCTGTTGTTTATTAGTTATTTCTCGGAATTTTTTAATATAAAAATTTTGACTTGCATCATTTTATTGCATTTCATTTTATATATAGGCTGGAAATGTACGATGTGTAGAAAAGGAGTGCTCTGAAGTAATGTGCCAACACCCAGCGTTAGGAGAATGTTGCTTGGAATGTTTAAACTGCCAGTTTGCGACAAACTTCTATATGAATGGGACAAATTTCACAAATCCACGGAACTCTTGTGAAACATGCATTTGTAAGGTATTAATTCTTCACTTAAAGTTTAAAAACATAAGCTTCTATAAGCTTAGTTTCTAGCCAAAATTCGCTTTACATGAAGTATTTCATGCATCCTTTCGAGTAAAATAGACAACAAAACAGGACAGATTTGGCAATAAACATGTCTGTGAATATGACAATAAAACATTTTCTTAAAATATTTAACTCATGAGTAACTTTAAAAGCAAGCTCAGAAATACGTTAAACATTCGAAATAAATTATTTGAGAAAAGACACAAAATGATTATTTTACTAAAATTTCTATGTGTTTATTCTTCATATATATATATATAGATAGATGTATCTATCTAACTATATATATACATAAATTGTAAATATATATATATATATATATATATATATATATATTTATATATATACAGGGTGTCCTGTAAATGTTGCGACAAACTTCTGGGGAAGGTAAGGCACATCATAAGGATTAAGAATTGCATAGGAACCCATGCCCAGAAACGTCACTGTACGCCGCCAGGGGGTGCTATACAGGAGAGTGCTAGTGGAAAGTGAGGATTGCCTCATTCGAGCGGTAGGCACCATACGAAAAACATGGAACGCTATACGAACGGAGGGCTTGCAGACATGCACTTATTATATGGAATAGCTTGAGGGTAATCGAGGAGCCGTTGCACGCATTTATCGAGAACACTTCTCGACAGACGTCAACCAAACCACAGTTATTTTGCACGTCTGCATCAAAATTTGTGCGACTACGGGTCATTAAGAAGTGACAGGACAAGTGAGAGCAGGCCAGGGTCGACTCGCTCGGTCGTTAGGGAAGAAAGTGTATTGGATACGGTGGAGAGTAATCCAAAGACCAGCATAGGTGCCATTGCCTCTCAATTAAGAATGTCTCGTACCAGTGTCCAGCGTGTCGTGAACGCCGACTCCTTCCACGCCTTTCGTCTCCAAAGGTTCCGTTACTGCTCCCCGATGACTGTCCTAAACGTGTGCGTTACGCAAAGTAGTTTCTGCAAGAAAGTTCCCGTGATGTTAATTTCCCAGCTTATGTGTTGTTTACGGATGAGGCCACATTCAATAGGGATGGCGTATTCAATCACTACAATCAGCATTTGTGGGCTCAGGAAAGGCCCCACGGTGTGAAGCATCTCGCGGCATAACAGCACTTCAAAGTTAATGTGTCGGCGACTGCTTAGTCGGGCCGTAATTTTTACCATCCGGATTGAATGCCGCGAATTATCTGATCTTTCTGGAGTAGGTTCTTCCTGGTTTCCTTGACGATGTTCCACCAAATGTGAGGCGTAACATGTGGTTCCAACATCATGTGGCGTCTTCTCATTTTGGACTAGATGTTCGTAGCCATTTGGACAGATCATTCCCGCATCGATGGATTGGGCGTGGTTGACTGGTTCCCTGGGCCCCACGCTCACCGTATTTATCGAACCTTGATTTCGTTTTGTGGAGAGCCATCAAACGCGTCGTCTATCACGATCCTGTTATGTCTGAAACGGATGTCATGGCAAGATTCGTCTGCACAGCTGCTACAATCAAAGAAACTCCCGGTGTGTTTGAACATGGCTGGCAATTAATGGTCCGTCGGTGTCAGGCTTATTTGGCGTCTAATGGTGCAAACTTCGAGCATCTGTTGTAACATTCAAGTTGTCGAAATGCCATTTGTATTCATGTCCAATAAATGTTTCAAATTAAGCACTCTCTTGTTTCCTTTCCCATCTTCTACCTCTGCTACCACTTACCCCTGACATTTCCGGGCATGGATTCCTATGCAATTCTTAATCCTTATGATGTGCCCTATCTCCCCATAACTTTGGCGCAACATTTATGGGACACCCTGTAATATATATGTACACTGCTCAAAAAAAAATGGGACAGTCCTATATCTCCCGATCTGCTGGGCCGATTGACAAAATTCAAATTGCGTTCGTCAAGTCTCGAAAGCGCGACTTAGGATGTATATTAGATTTATATATAGCACTATTCTAACATAGGTATTTTGACACAAAATCGGACTTTTTCTTTCCAATTTTTTTACATATTTCGATTCTACGGACCAAATTACGCCTAAATATGACTTTTGTAAATTTGGAGCGAAATTTACGGAGAAATTCACAAATTTATGTTGGCACTTTTTTGTCAGTTTGCGCAAGAAAACTTCACTTGGCGAACTTCTTAATATATGGCAACCTAGTTTCTTCCCGTGAGAGGGAAAAAAAGTCACCATCGTTCCTTTTTTCCAAATAATATTTCTTTATATATTTATATTATAACTTATATTTTAAGTAATTTTTTCTTTTTCGAATTCATTTTAATTTTAAGTTGCACTTTTTTTTTTTTTTTTTTTTTGAATAACTGTTTTAAAAATTTCTATTTACCTATTCGAACTGCGTAAATAAAGGTGCAGCGTTCATTTATTTGTTTTTCAAATACTTTTCTTTATATATATATTTTGTCGTAGTTATTATTTTAGGTAATTTTAAAATGTTTATTCTTTTATTTCAATTGTTTGTATTGCATTGTCTCTTCAGATAATTTTTTTAAATTTTTCTATTTATTCCTTCGAACTGAGCATTTAAATATATTTATTAATATCAATTTTCCAGAATTTTTTTTATTTATTTGAACTGCGTTTCTTTCGGAAGAATACTTTGTAACCCAGACTACGAGCGTTAAAAACTGCATACTATATTAAAAAGAAAATACAGTAAAGCACAGTTTTACACGCCTTTCAATGTTCGTTCAGAAAAAATATATATAAATAAGAGAGATGTATAACCGATATTTTAACTTAGGACGACTTGCATACACTGCTTTAAACAGTTTTATCATTGTGCCCATGTTTTACACAATTTTATCCTACATTTGGTTTCTTAAAATGTTATTCATATTTTAGTCAAATATTTATTTTGAAATCGCAGAATCAAATATCATAAGATTGAAAGTTTAAATTTAAAAAAATACGAATACTAAATTTTACGAACAAATTTATTTTCTTCTCTTTTCTTTAAGCATTCGAAAGTATATTGAAAGATCCAACTTTCGAAACATTTGGTATTTGACAATCATTTGATAAAGTTATCGCCTTCCTTTTCATAAAGGCCCACAAACGGCCGAGCGGTAAAGTGCTGAACACTGGTAGTCACTCCGGGGTTCGAACCCCGGTAACGGGTGGTTGCATGGGCGTTTTCGTGGATTTTCTCATGTGTACCGCGTATGACAGCTGTTTCCTTAGAAAGTTCTTCACGAAGTATTTCGTCAGAGCCTTTATCAGTCTTTTAGAGGCAAAATTTGAAGGTATGAGATGAAAGGAATAAATGGTTCCATAAAGGTTTTTGGTTTATTTTATTATGACAAAGCACACTACGGCTATCTGCCTAAGGGGAGGGATGCCTTCTTGGAGGACTTTCTAAGGGAAACTAGCTCGTATACACGTTATACATGGGAAAACCACGAAAAACGCCCATGCAGCCAGCCCGTTCGCGGGATTCGAACCTCGACCGAACTACCAGTGTTCAGCGACTTTACCGCTCGGCCGCTGTTTCATCAGGAAAGGAAAAAAAAACATCTTTAGGTGAATCCACATACATCACTGGATAAACTCGGAATCTTCAAATAATTCGACTGAGAAAATCATGGGATTCACCATTTATGAGCGATATGATGTTCTATAACGTAATTTAAATTTATACAAACATGTAGTCGAAAACCAGTCGCTCTTCACTTTAATCTGCAATGATATAGTTTTTGTCTCTGCCGTTAGCAGAAGCTCAGTGGATGGTATTTGCTGGCGTACACGTCCAAGTGTTTTTTCTTTAAGCACCCAAATTCCTTGAAGTATTCTGATAGTAAATTCAAAAGAATCCAGCATTTCGAAACACCTTGGTATTTCTGACAGCCAAATTCCGCTTCAAATATTTGCTTACTTTTCTCCCTAATTTCTTCTTTCCTTCTACATTTATTTTCAGTGCTCACCACAAAAAAATTGAGATTTTTCGATTGTTACACTTCCATAAATCTTGCATTCTTGTGAAATTTTTAAAAATATCAATTACATCAACTGCGTTTCAGTTGAAGGCAGCTTTTCATTTTCTAAGCATTGTAACTATAAATAAAGTTTAAAGAAAAGTCCAAAGGATAAATATTTTAATTAAAAGATTTTGCTAAATGACAAAGAATAAAAAACAGTCAGCAGGTTTATTCTGTACCACCGAGGACCCGATTCTTATATCGGCTAAAACATCTAAATCATACTAAAGATCATGTTTTTTTTTTTTTATACAGTCTATAACGCGAGAGAAAAATTAGCTTCTTGAAACATTCTTTCTAAGAGAATTAATATAAAAGATTATATTTATATATATATTTTTAAAGCTCGGACTTGAACCAAACTGTCAAACCTTTAAAGTTTAATTTACATGGTGGTTATAATTAAAGTTTCAAATTGAAATGGTCATAGAAGGAAAACTACCGGACCAAATGTTATCAAACTTGAGAATCGTGTAAAGGAGGTTATGGGAATTTATTTTCGGCGGAAAAAAAAAAAAAAAAAAGAGTTAAAAAACTCACCATCAGGGGAAAAATGGCGCTGTATACAATATTGTTAAATGAAATAAGACACGAAAACATCTGTTTAAAATGTGTTTAATATTTCCGAAAGTTGTTACAAAGCATGTTCAATGTAGCGTCCAGCATTTTCCGAAAGCAAGTTAAATCATGTTACTGATTCTCAACAGCAGCTATGAGCATATCAGGTTTGGTTTTGGTTTGGTTTATTAGATTACGGCAAAGCACTCGAGGGCTATTGCCTTAGGGAAGGATGCTTCGTAGAGGACTTTTTAAGGAAACTGGCTCGTATACACGTTACACATAGCATATCAGAGGAATGTATCAGGTATCACATTTTTCATTTCTGCCAAATTGTTTAGATTATCACCATAAACAGTGCTTTTGAGATAACCTCATAGACAAAAGTCACAGAAGTTGAGGTCTGG